ATACTTCACATATTTTATTCTTGTAAGAAGACCTTTCATTGGATACCAAGAACTTTGACCTTTTGACCTTGACCTTGGAGTTTTAACTACTTTTTAAAAATTATAACCTTGGTCACAACTTTTGAACGGTAGATACAAGGACTTTTATATTTCACACATGTATTCTTTGAGGCAACACCTTTCATTGGATACCAACAACTTTGACCTTTGGACCTTGACCTTGGAGATTTTCGTACTTCTGAAAAAACTTTAACCTTGACCATAACTTTTAAACGGTAAGGGCTAGGGCTTTCGTACTTCATGTATGTAATCCTTGTGAGAAGACCTTTCATTGCATATATTGACCTTGGAGTTTTAACTACTTTTTAAAAACTTTAATCTTGGTCACAACTTTTGAACGGTAGAAACTAGGACTTTCATATTTTAAATATATGTATTCTTTATGGCAAGACCTTTCATGATACCAAAAACTTTGACCTATTGACCTTGACCCTAAAAATGATATCTTGCCCACAAAGATACCGAAAGCGGGGGACCACAATTCTTTGAATTTGCTTTTTTCCTTTTTGATTTGACATATATTTTGGGTTTTCAAGAGCAAAACATTACACTGCCATTTTTTCTATAATATTGAAGGTACCCATATCTTATCTGCAACTCCTCCTATACCACTGAATAAAATTTAATGATACTTTCACAGATTCTTTATTACATAATGTCATTGTGCACCTCCTATTTTAGTTTTTGATCTGACACTTATTTCGGGTCTACAAGAGCAAAACAGGGGCTTTGTCATTATAATGATATGGGAGGCGGGGGTATCATTTAGTGATAAAAACCTAACTCAGTTAGTTTAGAACTTAACCCAGTCAGACAGAAACTAAACCTACTCAGGTAAGCATATAAACAGTCATTTAGAACTTTAGCAAGTCAGGCAGAAGCCAAACCTACTCAGGCGGGAACATGAACAACTCAGTATAGAATCTTACAATTATTGGGCAACTATAAACAACTGAATTCTAAAAGTTTCAGGACTGATAGTCAGTCATCAGTTTATTTGCATCATGTGGAGATTATGTGTTGGCGTTACTTCCGGTAGTGAATCCAAACCTAATAAAAATTAACTATAGTAAAAACTTTGATTATCTATGAAAGTTTACTTTAGAACTCTTATGATGATTTTAACATTTTTTAAATTCAATATCAATGCTATAATTTTTCAAAATATTACATCAATATTTAAAAAACATATGGGTGAACGATAGAACATAAATAATAACAAATTGTAACAACATTTAGCTATTGGGCATTTTTGTAAGGGAAATTTGGAAGGATCCAAGAGCTTTCTCTTGATTATGAAATACTGAATGATCTTGTGCAAATTCAAAAAAGCAGATGAGGATGCATATACTAGGAACACAGATCATTATTTTTAAATCAGTAGATGAATCGAGCGATTTAACGCCTATACATATAGCACGAAGAGTCTTCTAATTAACGTTGTTAATATGATTGCTGAAAAAATCCGAAGGATAATGTGATGTTTCAAAATTTTGGGGATTGATAGGAACAGTTCAATTCTCAGAAACAGAGAGATCTTCGCGTACACAAAAATTTTGTAAGCACGACCCAAAGAAGGGGTTGGAAACGCTGATGGAAAAGATGATAGATCTGATCGAAAATGCACCGCAAAATTCGAATAGAAAAGCAGCAAGGATCTTATTGCCGCCTTTCCAATCAAAGAAAAGGTAACGTGACTTATTTGTAATTTTAAAATCTTTTTTATTTATTTATTTATTTTTTTGGAATAGCAGCCGCCGATCCAGCAATTTTTTAAAAGAGGAGGGGGGGGGGCAGTTCCATATCAGTCAAAAAAGAAACTAACCAAGAAATTTGCAAAAAAACTCCAGTAAAACTGCATTTTCTAGGGGGACGGGGGATCCAAGGTAATTTTTTACTTAGTTAACAGATACAATTAATAACTCTGCAAATTCCAGGGAGGTCCGGACCCCTATCGCACTCCCTCTAGATCCCCTCATGAATAGAATGCATCTGACACCGTTACAGACACAGTGTTCGATGAACATTATCATCACCTAACAAACCTAGCTAAATATCCAAAGTAGAAGTTTTTATTAATTACAAGGTTGGATTGAAGACAGGGGCTTCATTCAATGCACTTGTAATTTAAGATAGGTTAAAAAGATGAAGACAAAGACAAAATGATATTATGTTACATGCATATAACTCACTAAGGTTATAGTTTAGGTCCTGATTGTTTTTTTTTTATTTTCTGAAAAAAGCATGTTTTTATATTGAGTCATTTGTTATCTTTTGTGTGCATTACATTTGTTTTTCATTGTTAAGTGTTGAATTAGGTATTTTTTAAACATGCTTTGATCTGGGTTCACTCAATGCCCATGTTTTATACATTACATTAATGTAGTTAAGGAATTGTTTTTGCCATACAATTGATTAAACATTGAACAGTATTAATGGAGCATGAATCGATGGGTAAAAGTCTAAGTCATAATAAACATGTCTATTCATTTTTTTTTCTTATTTTGCTAATCTCGCCCTGTTGCCCACAAAACTATTGGGTGGGGGTATTACTAATCAGTCATACTTATTAGTAATATTGTGGCTGTTTTATTGCTCCCCACCTTTTATTTTGCAATAATCATTGACCTAGTCAGATGTTTCTCTGTGTATATATTGTAAAGTTTTACAAAGTACATTAAGTTGATGTTATTAACTTTTCTTACAATTAGTATTATACTGCATTAGTAGTTTCGTCATTTTGTTAATAAATGACCTTTTTTCAATTCAAACTGTGTTTATCTCTTTGCTGTAAATCCGAAGCTAATACTTTTGCTTGGGCGAGATGACAAAAAAATTGTTTATCAGAAAGGGATTTAAATTCGCTTATCAACATACAATGCTGTATCTAAAACACTGAACAGAAAACTCTAAGGAAAGTTTTACTATTGAGGCATTGTTTTTATTAAGTTCTAGACGAATTAAATGAAACATTGTTTCACTGAATAATTTGTGTTTTTTTTATTAATTCCGTCCGATTTTGTTATCATTGCCATCTAATAATATGTTATTGGACTGGTAATTCTAATAACGGACAGTTACATGTAAATTTATAAATGCAAGAACAAGGGAATGATATCACCGCAATGATTAACTCTTCTTACATGTACCATACACAAATAAACAATTAAGAAGCCCTATGTAAGGTAGGATTCTTCTCATACTTTTAATATTTAAAAATCAATGAAATTCTCACAGAATCAAGAAGACAATATCAGTAAGTGATAGTATCAGTGAGATTAAATTTTATATTAGAGGCAAGGTCAGGTCAAGGTCATTATCTTTTTCCTTGACATTAAGAATAAAAAATACTGTTGCCAATCATGTGATGCCTACTTCTATTTCAAAAGTTAAGAGATTGTTCTTTTTGCATAATAACATATTACTATATCGGGTCTATAGCATGATATTACCAAATTTACATAAATAATTTAACTAAACTGGATATTGGCTAATCCGAATTTTCTCTGTTTTTCTTAATTTTTTAGGATATATTAGTTAGTTTCAGCTTCCTATATTTAACTTTTTCTTATTTTCACATATAATAAAGTAGTCTTATCAATGTACAAAATGATACAAAAACAAAAAAGTTTTGATCGTTTACTAAGAGAGAAAAAAATACTTTTTATGGATTTTTGGCTCAAATATGCACTTTGATAGGAAGCGTTTAAAAGCTAACAAAGTTGTAGTTTGTTTTAAAAATTATATTTATTTGATATATTTTGAAAGTTTAGTCCCTCACTATTAATTTAACTTACATTTAAAAATTTCTCCAAGTCTTCGATTGTGTAAAAATTATAACTAAATTCATTGTTCTATCATAATTTTGAGAGGCAGAAAAGAAATTTTCATACGCCACCATTCCGCCAAAAATATAGTTCCTGCTAGTTTTCAAATGCAGTTTACCATTTCTATTTAAAGTTGTACAATTTTAACGGGGAAAGAAAAATATGGTCTTTTAAATCCTTTACACCTCAATATATAAGACATATATGCAAATATACTTTGAATGTTTCATCTAGTCAGAAACCGGAGAAGAATCCTACCTTAATGCACACGTGATATGTTTAAATAATAAAACCGAAAGAAAAAAAAACCGACTTCTTTAATCTGGTAAATGTTCAGGTAAGTACTTGACGACATATGACTATCAAAGTAAAATTCGTGTCAATTGTAGCTATTTCTTTTTATTTAAAAACTGTTTGTCCCTTTATTAGTGCAGTCTGTTTGACTTCGTTTACTGGATATTTTTCTAGAAGAATTGATTTTCTGTTTGTTCTTAATGAGTCACAGATCAAAATAGATATTTGGTCCGCTTCAGTGATTTTCGTTGGAAGCATGGCCAATGAAGTGAGACAGACAGACTAACTAACAAAGGGACAAACAAACAGATACATGGGAGAAAATAAGTCTCCTCCTTTTACATCAGTGCAAAATTAGCCGTATGTTTAATCAGAAAGCTTTACATCGGTTTCAATAAAGATGAAAGGTGTCTAAAATATCAGCTTACCAATGTTATGCTACAATTTGAACAAAGGCGACACGGACATGAAAATATGCTCTCATGGGTAAATGTAATACCAATACTACAGTGTAGTAATTGACAGAACACGAATATTTTCTATAAATATTCTTTCATCAAATTATACGTTAACTTTGATAAAGCTAAAACATGAGCATGCATGTTTTTAGTACATATGACTTTTTTGGTCGTAATTACCTTCCTAGTGACATTATACATGTACATGTATACGACATAAGGTTAGATTAAAATAATATGTTTATTATATTATTTTCTTAGAAAAAAGTGTTAGAGACTGAAAGCTATAATAGTAAGAAAGACGGAAACACCACAAGATTCCAGACAATTCCGATTCCAAACATTTACAGAAAAAGCAAACATGCAGGCTAATCTGAATGATTACTGCAAGATTTTAGAAGATCAGAGTAAAGCAGTACCGAATGACGCCAGGCAGATAAGATACTGTAAATATATTACCAGGTTCGCTTCTCATTTCGGAGCCGAGCGTTGTGAGGTGGTAGGAAGTACAATAGAGGGGACACGGCTCCGATCTCACAAGGACGAGGGTGACTATGATTATCTGATCATATCAGGAACCACCATTCCTGTAGAGGCTTTAGAACACAGAGAAGACGTTCCCTGTTTTGTTCACATACTCTCAGATAAACTGAAAGTTTCTTTTTCTGATGACTTTGTGGTGGATGGGAAATATCTTCACAGTCGTATTCTGAAAAATCTAGATAAAGAAGCTTTTAAGATTATGAGAGGACTATTCCCTGTCTTCACAGACTCAAGAAAGTCAAAAGGAAGACACACAGAACATATGGAATTCAATCGAGAGGCAAAACCTGGCATGACCCAAGAACATTTTGCTGGTTTCGAAATATTAAGTCAAAGTGAAAACAAGTCTAAACATAGTCAAACAGAATCAAAAGGGGAAGTAAGTTGTTCTTTCAAGGAACCACTGAAAAGCATTCTAGACATGATTGACATGAAGAAAAAAGGCGAGGATACAAATATTGACCTATTTCGAACCTTCGATAGTTTGATAGATGCAGCTTCATCATTTGAAAGCGATTTATCTGCATCGTCATCAAAGAAAAGAAAACTAGACACTCAGGAGTGTATCAAAGAGTGTTATGATTTGTCCTATCAGGCTTGCGTTGTTAAATATGATTATAAGAGCAGCAAGGATTTTATTGCTGCCTTTCCCTTGAGATGGAGTCTGTGGTGTCTTGAAGAATGGAAACAACGAATGATGGAAAGGAAAGTGATGTTTTGGCCAAAACCAGAGATCATACAAAAAATTTACAGTTCCGAAGTCTATGTGGTAGCTAAGGAAGCAATTATAAATTCAAAGCCTTCAATTGATTTTTGTCTGGGATTTAATCAAGCGGAATTGATTTTAGCAAAGTCTTTGCGTCCTACCCAGAAGTTGTGCCTACTTTTATTAAAATCTCTACAGAAAGGTTTCCTTGAGGGATTTTCAAAGACTCTAACGACTTTCCATTGGAAAACTGCTTTTTATCATACCTGTGAACAGATAGACCCTGGCCTCTTTAATTGTCAGTCGACATTGCTGCAACCTCTTAAGATGGTCCTCAGTTACATGACAAAATGTTTAAACTGCGGATATTTACGTCATTACTTCATAGAAAGCAACTTAATCGCTCACATTTCTCCAAACGAGGCCCGTAGAATCAGTGCCAAAATTCAAGAAATAATAGAGGACCCAGAAAGCGCCTTTCAAGTTTACTTTGACCGGAAAAAAACTGAAGAAAAACAAACAACACTGATTTCGGAGAAAGAATTCCGCCAAGTAACACAACACGATTCGGGAACAACAGATAATCTCCAGATTAAAAAAATAATGGACTTATGGAAACAACTTCAAGAAGCATCGGATAAAAATAATTCAAAAATATTCACAGCGATTCTGGATACCCTACGTCTGGTTATTGAAGAAGAGACAGACCTTGACTTCAAAAAAGCTCTTAACTTTTTACAAAATGGAAAGGTTGTTCCAATTTTAGCACAAGTTGCCAGAAGTATCACGAACGCAAGGGAAAAGCAACAGGACTACAATGAAATAGCAAAGAGTACATGGCAAAAGTTACTCTCAGATAGAAGATGAATTTTCTTTACTCTCATAAATGCCTGCATATTTGCTTGCACAAATGTAATGTAAAACTGAATAGTTGGAGGGTTTCTGATAATCGACAATTTGTCGCCATGTAAATTTTATTCTAACAGGAAACCAACTCCATTGAAAAGACTCTATAGCAATATCCTCAAAATTCTCTGTTTTACTTTGAAATTATTATATCGTGGGAGTACATGTCTTTTCAATTAGAATGTTTTAACAAAATAATTTTGCAAATGACCAGTGACCAGGAAAGTAAATTAACAAGTTCCATTTTTATTGAAAAAGTAGCTGTCAATGATATCAAAAAGCTTGGACTTTAATTGGGAATGGTTGTGTTTGAAACAAATACCCAACAATTGGTTTAAAACATGTCAGTAAAAACCGCGACCCAGTTTTACAGTAATTTGAGAGTCTGATACATCTGTTCAATATTTTACAAGAGAAAGATCTAAATGGTAATCTAACAACGAAGCTTTATGATAAACGTGATGACTTTAACTCTTTTTAAAACCGTCAACTTCCCGTACCCAACAATTTACCCTTGTCATCCGCATATTGGGTTTATATCTCTCAGTTGTTTCGATGTGGAAGAGCATGTTCTACGTATGCATGAGCAATTTCTAAGAGGCAAGTTGCTGGAAACCAAGTTGATGAAGCAAGAATATCAGCAATCTTGTTTAAAGTCATCATTTCGTAAGTTCTACAGTCGATAGATCTTTTGTAAGTTCTATAGTCGATACAACTACCTTGTCAGCAAATACAATACATCATGAAGTCAAATGCTGACTTTTTTCATACTGATTGCTAACTTACTTTTTTCTTACTGACATTATTTACACACTGAATTGTCGACGGATTTTCACATTTTTTCCTGAATATGACAAGGAGCACAGGGCGGTTGTGGCCGGTCGGCAGGGGATACTGACTCCCCCATGGCACCTGATCCTACCTCTGATTTTTTTGGAGGTCCTTGTTTACTCTACTCCTATTTTGTAATGTTAAATGAACTTGTGAGCTCGAATACTGTTCGTTATCTCCACATATTTCATTGAATATCTGGATTATTCTAAACATAAGTATGGCGTAAACCTTTTGTAAGCTCACCTGGTTCACTCAGGTGAAATTTTACACTCTATTTTCTTGCGTCATCGTTCGTAGACTTTTGAGCATTTTCAGCTTCTTCCCAAACACCATTCAACTATTTTCAACAAAAGGAGGACATTGATTGTGAATTTCAAGGTCTCTTTCTTTCTGTTTCCTGATGAATGGGACAAAAACTATCAAAATTAATGCAATTTTCAAAAATCGTCACATTGTTTGCATGACAAAAACATGCAAAGAGTCCTCTAACAAATGACCCCAGGCCCAGGGTTTTTGAGTTGGGGTACATTAAGATCTATTGATAGTGAAAATGCATAAATTCGGTGAAAGCTTCTTCTCTCCCTCAGTATAATTATCAAAAAACTAAGTGCAATGTTATTCTGAGCAAATGTGCCTCTCTCAAAATATTGAATATCATGGACTCTGGGTAAGGGGTTCTGGTATTAGGGCAGGGTATTTTTGATTATATAGTAAGAAGGCATTCTTTTCTTCCCATGAATATTTGGCAGACCTAGTCACCACATGCATATGATTAGCAAGGGTGCCTCTTCCAAAATTGTAAAATTCATGGCCCCTGGTAAGAAGTTCTGGGGTTGTGACACGGGTCTCTAAATTATAGAGAAAAATAATTATCTTTTAAAAACTTCTCCTCAGTCGCTGAGTAATTGGCACATGGTTATGATGAACTTTCCAAATAATAGTAAAAATTCATTGATTTTTTGAAAATTTTGGAAGAAAGTAGAGTACACATCTTATTAACAAGGCTTTATAAGAGAAATTTGCTCTGTTCTGAAAGAAGTTATTACCATTTGCTATTCACTTATGATAATTAATTACTGTTTATAATGTAACTAATAGTTAAACTGAATAGGGAAATACAATTTAAATGTATAATAAGAATTTAAGTTTTAAATGGTCAGGTAGACTTGTCTTTAATAGATAAATAAAAATATGAGATGAAATACTTTTTTGTATATGAAATGTTTTTCAATGACCATGCGAGGTCAGTTTGAGAAGGAGTGAGGAGAGTTTTTGTGCTCAAGCACTCTATTGTTTGCTAGACTTTTATTTCCTTGTGACAAAAGAGGATGAATCACTGACAAGTACATATTATAGAAGTAAAAATTAATAGATCTACTTTCTGGTCTGTAACAGAGTAAACTAGATTGTTTTGTTGATCCCTGAACATCATATTTCTCTTGATATCTGAAATAATAAATCTAAGTCAAAAAATTATATCTTATGAAGAAATCTTTAAAATAAATACCATATAATTATTTTTATACATATATATGTAAATCATAAAGAGGAATAACTCCTGGTGTCCCACGTAATAATTCAGAAGCCACCTCTTATATATACACGTCATAGGTAAGAATAGAATGGAAAGTAAAACCCAACTCCATGATTATATTTATCTTGGTAAACACCTGTGATTCATGTAATACAGGGACTTCGATCACCATAGCAGAACACAGTTTACTCGAAGGTAAGATTTTCAGCTGTTTTGTTCCAAATGATATATCGATCTTTATAATTATATGCATCGTGGATATGTATGTACCTCAGCTCGGCAATTTCTATCTTTAGTCAATGACATGGGCTAGCATATACGTATGTATACTAAACATGCTAAATCGGGCCTCTATTCTATTAACAATAATCTGGAAATAACACGTTTGTCTTGTCAGTATGATTTGTATTTTATTTCTTTGTTATCAATCTTTATCAATTTTACAATAAGTAATTTATTCTTAATAATAACTTTCAATTTGTTTAAGTCTACCACTTAATCATATTGACCTTTGGGCATATCTTATTCATCACAATAAGGGATTAACGAAAGGCTAGCTGCTCCAGAATTTCAGGTTGAGGGACATTTTAAAAAGTTAAATAACGACAGAAAGAAGGACAAAACAAGGAATGTCTCCTAGAAATAATACAGGACAATTAACTTTAAATCAGGGGGGTACGTATTTCGAGGGGGGGGGTCAACAGTTTTATTACGACATCCCAGCTCTTCCTGAGATTTAGGAGTGTAAGGACTGTGTTTTTCAAAGAGAGAGAAACACAATTATCGAACATTTTATTTCCTGAGATTTAGGAGTGTAAGGACTGTGTTTTTCAAAGAGAGAGAAACACAATTATCGAACATTTTATTTTTTTCTAGAGTTTATAGACGACGAGTGTGTTGCAACATGTTCACTACTATACTAGTAATATAACTGTAGGTCTTTGACTATCAAATTTCTAGCAAATATCATTTTATAAATAATAAACTTACAGTAACTTTTTTTAGTTAAAAGTAATTTTGAAAATAAAATTTTAATGCCCAGACATGAATTGCTATATTCATGCACAGTTGCGAGATGCAAGAATCTTTGTTTCACTTTCTCAACAGATGAATTTTTATTTCTTTAGAAAAATGCTGCAGGCTGAACGTTATCTTCAGGCAAAACTAAAATCTTACTACAAGATCCTAGAGGATCAGAGTAAAGCAGTACCAAATGATGCCAGGTAGATCAGATACTGTAAGTACATCACCAAGTTCGCTTCTCATTTCGGAGCTGAGCGTTGTGAGGTGGTAGGGAGCACAATAGAGGGAACTCGACTCCGATCTCACAAAGACGAGGGAGACTATGATTATTTGATCATATCAGGAACCACCATTCCTGTAGAGGCTTTAGAACACAGAGAAGACGTTCCGTGTTTTGTTCACATACTGTCAGATAAACTGAAAGTTTCTTTTTCTGGTGACCTTGTGGTAGATGGGAAGTACCTTCATAGTCGTATACTGAAATATCTGGATAAAGAAGCGTTTAAAATAATCCGGGGGTTATTTCATGTAATCACAGTTCCCACACAGAAGAAGGGCTCAGAACACATGGAATTCAATCGGGAGGCCAAACCTGGAATGACCCAAGAGCATTTTGCTGGTGTTGAATTACCGAATGAAAGAAGTTCTGGTGGCAATCATTATCAAACAGGGACAAATGTAGGCGCATATACTGGAGACACGAATCATTATTTTAAATCAGTAGTTGAATCCAGCAATTTAACATCTAGCATGAAGAACCTTCTAATTAATCTGGTCAATATGATTGCCGAATCGACACCACAAGACACTGCGCTGTTTCACACTTTCGGTGGATTGATAGAAGCGGTTTCGTCCTCCGAGTCGGGGAGATCTTCACCGCCACAAAAATTGTGTAAACACGACCTACAGGAGGGGGGTGAAAACTCTGATGGAATGGATGACGGATCTGATCGAAAATGCATCGTGAGGTTCAATTATAAAAGCAGCAAGGATTTTATTGCCACCTTTCTAATTGAAGGAAAGCTAAAATGTATTGAAGAATGGAAACACCGGATGATGAACAGAAAGAAAGCATTTTGGCCAAAAGCAGAGACTGTGGAAAAGATCTATAATTCAGAGGTGTATATAGTGGCCAAGCCCGCTATTGTCGACCCAGATCCATCAATAGATTTCTGTCTGGGGTTTAATCAAGCAGAATTACTTTTAGCACATTCTTTGAGTGCTGATCAAAAACTGTGCCTGCTGCTTTTAAAGTCTCTGCAGAAAGGTTTTTTGGGAAGTTTCTCCAAGACTCTGACAACTTTTCACTGGAAAACTGCGTTTTATCATTCCTGTGAGCAGATAGACCCAGTCCTCTTTGATCGGAAATCCACCTTACTATTGGCTATTAACATGGTCCTATCTTATATGGCGGAATGTTTAGAGAAGGGCTATCTGAGGCATTATTTCATTGAGAGCAATTTGATAGCACACATTTCGCCAGAGGAGGCTACTGAAATACGAGCAAAAATCAATGAAATCATACAGGATCCTGAAGGCCCACTACAAGTTTATTTTGATAAGACAGATAAGGAGAAGAAACAGACAGAGTTAATTTCAGAAAAAGAGTTGCGTCAAGTAAAACCAAATGATTCCGAGTCAGCGAAAAAGTCAAAGTCCCATAAACTCATCGAAATGTGGTCACAGTTTCAGGAAGCATCAAAGAGCGATGATTCCAAATTCACCAAGGCGCTTCTGGATACTTTGTATCTAGTTCTCGAAGAGGAGACAGACTTCGATGTCAAAATACCCAGGACCTCTACACAAAGTGGAGGGTTACCCCAACTTTTAGCACAAGCTGCTCAATATAGAACGGGGAATTTTACAGACAGAGAAGAAAAGAAAAAGGCTCTAAATGAACTCAGGTCTAATGCCTTACAAATGTTGTTTTCTATGTCGAAAAAATAAGACATTGTCCTCCTTACACAGTTATAGTGGATTGGTTATTTGCATACAAGTTAACTCAACTTGCTTTTATTTGAAGTGATATCAAAAAATGTTGTAACAATATCATTAGATAATTATCAAATTTCATTACATATGAAAATATATACGTATATTCATTAGAATTGAATTTATAAATAATACTTTTTTTGTTCTGAAGAATGAATTTCTTTTCCTTTTATTATATAAAAGGCATTTTATTTAAAAGGCATTTTATTTTATACGTTCTCTCATTTAATACATAGGCATTTACTTTCTTTCATTTTAAATGGGTATTGAATTAATTTACTTTCATTTTAAATGGGCATTGCGTTTACTTCATTTTCATTATTTAAGGTAATTGAGTTTACCTTCTCTTTCATAATATTCAGGGGTTGTCTTTACTTTCTTTTTCATTATTTAAGGTCATTGTCTTTACTTTCTCTTTCATTGTATTTCTTGAACTCTTGCCAGTTATTCATTTACATGTACCATGTTTTTTTTTATACTGCCAGTGATATTAAAAGGTACATATGTTATTTGAAAGCCACAAGATATTATTACTCAATTATGTTCCACTTTTTTATCTTATTACGAGTATATGCATTAATTTTTTAATCCTGTTTATATATTTTAATTATATTGGAATACAAATGAATGAAGACTTCAATTGAACTAACTCATGTAATTGTTAATAATTAATATTTTACTTAATGTTATATGGTCGAGCTGGATATATCTTCAAAAATCACACAAATTCAATTTGAAGAAAAAAGAAAAATTTGCAAAGAAAAAGAAATTATGATTAAATAAGAGGCCCATGGGCTACATCGCTCAGCTGAGCACATTGGCTAGAAAAAGGCACAAATCAGTTAAGTATTGAAAAGTAAGGCTTGAATTTTAAACTACCAGAGAATGCTTCCATCTTCTACTAACTGCGGAACTGTAGCTCTGCGAAAAAAAATATATTGACAGAATGGAGAGCAACAGTGCCACCCATTGAAAAAACTGTATATTTATTGCGCACAAAAAAGTGCTGTTTCTCGATTTATTCCTCTATGTTTTTAAACTGTCATCTCAAAATATTACTAACCGTGTATTCCTAACTGATTATTTCACTTATTCCACAACAAAACATCCCTTATAATTGTTGTTAATAGCTCTCCTGGCCCTTAAATTAAGATCACTGAAAATTCCTTCTACTTCTACTGCCATTTTGGTTTGCAAGAAAATTCGGTCCAACATGCTTCGTACAGATGTCGACTACGAGAGTACTTGACAGAAGAGTAAGGAATTTTTTGAAATCTGTCTTTTACGATTGAGGTAAGAAATTGGAAGAATTGATTCTGAACTAAGAGCAAATTTTTGTGCGCAATAAATATACAGTTTTTACAATGGGTGGCACTGTAGCTCTGCCCCAGTCTGTCAATATATTTTTTTCGGAGAGCTACAGTTCTGCAGCTAATCTTCCACCTAAGTTTAATCTTTCCTGGCCCAGTGGTTATTGAGAAGAAGATTTTTAAGATTTTTCATATTATATTCCTATCTACAACTTTGATTCCCTATGTGGCCCCGCCCTACCCCCGGGGGATCAAGATTTGAACAAACTTGATTCTACACTACCAAAGGATGCTTCCACCTGAATTGTATCTTTCCTGGCCCAGTGGTTCTTGAGAAAAAGATTCTTACAGATTTCAATAATTTTTCACTAATTATTATTAAATTATCTCCCCTCACACAGTGATACTTTGTTGCAAGTTTGGTTGAAATTGGCCCTGTGGTTCTTGAGAAGAAGTCTGAAATGTAAAAAGCAAAAAGCTTACAGACAGACGGATGGACGCCGGACAAAATGTGATCAGAAAAGCTCGCTTGAGCCTTCGGCTAAAAATATGTAAACATACAACAACATTCTATTCCACTTGCTATTTTACATAATTTAACAAACAAAAAGCCATACAAACACTCGCCAACCATTATATCAGAGTGCACATGCAGGTCAAAATGGCCAAGTTCAAAAATAATGGAGCCATGTATTGAAGCATCCTCAGGTAATTTATATAATCAAATTTGCTCTCATCATGAGTCTGGGGGAAGAGTGGGGCAACAACTGGTGATCAATCAAACTTTTGAATACATAGGAAAAATCTCTTAAAAAATCTTCTCAAGAACAGCAAAGCTTTGATTAATTATACCGTGTATTTAGATGGAGGAATTCTCAGGGTAAGGTAGATTCAAATTTGTTAAAGCCATGACCTCATGGAGTAGGGAGGGCCACACAGCCTTAATTGTATGGTCATATTTACATGAAAGCATCCCCGAGTAGAGTAGATTCAGATTTGGTAGGGTGCTACCACAATGGATGATCAAAACTTTTCATAGCAATAAGGTTGTAAGAATAATGTTAATTATTTCTCTGTTTTATCAAGATTCTACAATTTTATTTACACATCAACAAAATAGTAACAAGTTATTTTAAGTTAACACCTCTTTTTCAAGTTATTTTAAGTTAACACCTGTTTTTTGTTTTTTTTTTCAATAGAGAATTTCAAATTGTCACATATATCCTTTGACCTTGTCCATTCATGGTCAAGCGGTTGCTGTTTTTTGTTGTGTTTGTTTAAACTGTTCAATTCTCTCTAATAACACAGGCCTGAAGTGTCGAATTAGTCCCTGTAAACAAAGGAAAGGTGTATTATAGACAACGAAAGTGAAAAAAATAAATACAAGTAAACAAAGCCAAAGTTAACACAAATACAAGTAAACAAACAAGAGTGTAATGTCATTACAAAGTACAGAATGACAACTTGAACACAACAGTTTTTTTTTTGATTACTTTTGATAGACTTTTCAGAAGTTTTACATATTGACAAGTTTTTCATCTCTTTCCTAGGATTAAAACACGAGTCACGTACCTGTACAGGCCAGGCAGCCCCGTCCCCCAGGGCACAGATGGTGTGACCCTCAATCTGTTTACTGATTTCATACAGCATGTCTATCTCTCCCTCCTTAAAGTTACCAGTCTCTACAAAGAATAATCAGATATGTCACATTATTTTCTCTTTTGATATATTAATTTACAATATAAAAGAATTGATGAAAAAAAATGTCAAAAACATGGAGTCAAAAACTTTGGTGAAGTTTGTTATAGTTTACACAGTAAACAAAGTTCATTTTCATACATCATCAAAAACCTCAAGCTAGTATCTTTCTGCAATCTGCATAATAAATTACAAAACAAAAATTTGGTATAATGATAATAGAGGTATTTTACAGGACTTACCAAAACGTTTCATGATCTTTGCCATCCATCCAACTCCTTCTCTACAGGGAGTACACTACAGAATACAAATCACAGTGTAAGCCACAATGTTGAAAAACTAAAGATTTCTCACTCTAGAAGCTCCTTAATATAAATTTGCATGTAAACATTGGATTTATTCTGACAAGAAGACAGATTATAATTTTTACCTGACCACAGCTCTCGTGTTTGTAGAACTCGATCAGTCTAGAGATACACCTGATGACGTCAGCGTCTTTGTTCATCACGATGACGGCAGCTGTCCCCAGACTGGTCTGAGCTTGTACCAAAGCATCAAAATCCATCATTACGTCCGAACACACACTGGTTGTACAAAAAAATTATTAGTATCACAACGCATGTTTTTAATTCTGGTATATCACCAAGTGAAATTTAATATAATTTAACATAACTGAGAAAATTTTCTACAGTATTCTTAACAAACACATGATTTATTTGTCTCTTAAGAAGTTAACTCATCTTGAGAATTGGACGGTTCAAAATTCACAAGTATCATTCATATGAAACTTTCAAAACAAAGGGTAGGACTTGTATTAACTGCTCTCACCTCTTAGGGATGATTGGGGTCGAGGACCCCCCTGGAATGATGCCCAGGAGATTGTCCCAGCCCCCGATGACTCCCCCCGCGTGCCTCTCTATCAGCTCCCTCAGAGTAATGGACATCTCCTCCTCTACTGTCACGGGGTTATTGACGTGGCCCGAGATGTTAAACAGCTAAATAGAAAAAAACACAGAGTTATTGACTTTTTGACATGTCCTGAAATGTTAAACAGCTAAGCAGAAAAAAACACAGAGTTATTGACATGTCCCGAGATGTTAAACAGCTAAACAGAAGAACAGAGAGTTAAGATTTCACGTAAATTAATTAACAGAGCAGGGAGTGAGGATTATAAGCATATAAATTTATATTTCAAAGGTTGTTCTAATGAATATAGTTGTAAAGTGACTCGCAAGGATCTTTGAAAAAAACTAACTACATTTTATTTTGATCTTTGAAAAAAACTGAGTAAATTTTTTCCCCTATCTTTGTAATAGAATAAGTACATTTTGTTTACTAAACACTGACTTACTTTAGTTCCCCTGTTCCTCTCCCTTCCAAATGAAGCAAACCATTCACCTCCTCTTCTACAGATTGCCTGAAAAATTAAAATAATGTTGAAACAATTACCTGATTACGTCCAATTCTTGATCCTTTCACCATTCAGATAATGTAATTCTCTTATAATATCATCAAACAAGTTCTTTTAACTGACAATCTGTGAATTACTTACTGGAGCGACGGCCACTGTCTCCACATTAGCGACGGTGGTGGGACATCCAAACACCCCTACATCGGCAGGGAATGGGGGCTTCAGACGGGGCTTACCAGCCTTACCCTCCAAGGACTCAATCAGGGACTGTTAACAGCAAAGTCAATATAAAGTGTTAAAAGGATTTTAGTTATCAGTAATATTTTATTTATTCAGTTCTTCAGGTCTCATACAAGTTTACAAATACTTTTACTAAAAGAATCTTTTACAGATTAAAACAATGAAGAGTGACTGCTATCAAAACCATGGACAGTCTTCATTAGTGTAAAAGAATAAATCTATTCTTATATATAAGCACGCTTATAAATGGCTAATACCACCAGATTCAAGGACCTAACATTAAATAAGGACATGCTGTACGGTGACTTACTGTTTCCTCTCCACAGATATAGGCTCCTGCTCCACGATGAACGAAGACATCAAAGTCGTACCCAGAACCGCAGGCATTCTTACCCAGTAGTCCAGCAGCATAGGCCTGTAAATGTATTACGTTATTAAGAAAAGGTCATTAATGAGGAGTGGGAAGGGTGAGCAATACTTGGGTGACAAAAATGAGTCTTTTTTGAAGTTCTTAGATACCTTCCACCTTTTGGTTTATTTATTTTCTTTCTTAAAGTATCAATGATCAATATTTCAAGATTTGCACTTTAAGAAGAAATGATCAACATCATTAACAGATCCACATATCTGACAGTGGAATTTTCAACAAGAGAGCACCTGTTCTGTTAACTAACCTCATTGATGGCAACCTGCAGGTTAGACGCCTCGTTATAAAACTCCCCTCTGATGTAGATATAGGCTGTAATAACAGACAAGGTCATTAGGATTTCTCTCAAACACAACAACAATCTCATTAAAATAATGCATGCATAATACTAGTAGACACTGCCTTCAAGACATTTTTCTCTGAGGCGAGTACTCTCAGAGTAATAAAGATATCCCTATTTTCATATGGAGAGTTATTATAACATCTGTTTTTTCAACAATAATTGACCTACAACATTTTTAACATTCAAAAAACAGCTTTAAAACCTACATATGGACAAAATAATGCACAATCCTGCTGTTACCTGCACATGCTCCCATAGAGCGCCCAGCCACCAGACAGCCCTCCACCAACTTGTGGGGGTCGTGTCTCATGATCTCCCTGTCCTTACATGTCCCTGGCTCTCCCTCATCAGCATTCACCACCAGGTACTTAGGCCTAAAGATGAGAAGGCCCTCAGTCATCAGGAAGTGTTATTTCAAATACATAGACATCTAAATGACATCTACACAAATATACAGTTAAACGTAGGTACCTTGTACACTATTTTCAATACCAAGAATTATGTCAAAGTGATTTGGAAGTCACAACCTTTTATTCTTTAATTATTTTGTCTGATATATCAAACCCTAATATATCTTGATTTTTTTTAAAATCTCTTCAAGATGGACATTATAAAGTTTGACTGTACTCTACCTAACTACCTTAGACATTATATACATGTACTATAAATCATAACAGATCCATTACCTGCCGTCGCTGGGCTTGTTCATGAAGCCCCACTTCATCCCCGTGGGGAAGCCAGCCCCTCCCCTGCCACGCAGACCTGAGGTCGTAATCTCTTTCAGGATCCACTCGTGGCCCTTTAGAAGTATTTCCTTTGTTTTGTACCAGTCTCCCTGTGTTATTAAAAACAAAGTGTTATCAAAAATTCACTGATTAGAAAAGTGATTATTTATTTCAGGCTCTGCCTAGATATAGAAATGCTAACCAAAGTATAGAACATTATAATGTGATAAATTAAAAACAATATGACTTATTTCTTAATATGAAAACTATGTTGTTGGGATGTCATAGCTGCAGAACTGTAGCTCTCTGCTTGAGAAAATTCGGACAGATAAAGCAGAGAGCTACAGATTCAAGCGATGTAAAAACCTTCGATTTACGCCAACGATTTTTTGTCGCTACATTATTTGGTGTAGTTGAAACTTTTGCTGGCTTTTAGAATTGCATCCTATAATCAATCTTATATTTAACTCTTATTTGTGATACTTTATTAAAGTTTATTTATATTTTAAAGGTCTGAAACAGTCCTGCATATAGTTTTGTAATGTCAGTTTAAAAAAGTTCCATTTCAACATCCATAATCACAAACAGCCATTTGTTTGCATTGAAAGGTAAGTAAATTATCAGGAATTGAAGTTAAATGTATGATTAATTATTAAATACCATTTTTAGAGCTGGTGAAAGTATTAAATACAAGAAAAAATACCTGAAGTGAGCGACAAAAAAATCGTCGGCGTAAATCGAAGGTTTTTACAATGCTTGGATCTGTAGCTCTGCTTTACCCAGGGGATGACACATCCCATTGCCCGACGCTCAGGGCTAGTGAATTATAGGGATGGGCAAGTGAAATTTTATCAACCACTTGCCCGTGGGCAAGTGACTTATCAAAAATAAAATCAACAGTAAGTCATAGATATCAAGCTGGGCATAGGGGCTTGCATGATCTGAACAGTATTTGTCGTCCTCTTTTTTTAAAAAATAGATTTATAAATACAATATTAGTTTATGGTAGGGCAAGCAAACATTCAGATAGGGCAAGTAAATTTTGACCATGTACTTGCCCTAGGACAAGTGCCTTAAAAATCTATTTGTCAGCCCCTGTTTACCTGTCCAAATTTTCTCAAGCAGAGAGCTACAGTACTGCAGCTAGGGATTTCAGAAATATATTTTGAGACTTAGGCAAAAAATGTTTGTGTGGATGCAATTTAGATGTGCTTGTGTATAAATGGTTGATGAGATTATCAAAAATAAAAATCCCATTGTTACTATTCCATTTATATATTCCAAATTTAGTTTAAAGAAAAATTTTAAAAATCTCTACCCTGGACATGGCACCCTTGAGTTTCCAGTCATGTCTGCCATATAGATTTGTGAAGATTCTGTCCTCATCCTTTAGTGGTCCATATGTACTCTACAATTACAACAAGTTAAAGTTTTACAAAATTATAATCGTAGTGCATATGTAATCAACAATGACAAGTCAGAAGTTTACAACTATAAAGATATTGCTAAACAAAGTTCACTTGAATTTTAGTTCCTTAAACTTTAAATCTTTTAACTTGCTGAGCTCCTAAGAAATGCTGTAATGTTGAAATTACAAGATATTTAGATTTGAAATTCTCATTATTTGTTAGGGATGAATGATACACCCGGCTCCTACACGGTTCGATCATACATATCATAAAACTTAGTCTCGGTTCCGTTATTTTTGATACGATACATTTTGATAGAAGGAAATAAATCCAACCATAATTTTATGCTTCCTTTTACTTAATCTAGGCAAATAATTTATGTGCAAAATGGATAGAAGAAATCAAATTAATTGATTAGACTGTTAAAAATTATTTTACAAATTTCCTCAAAAATTTATGTTTTTGAACTAATTATACGGAGGAACATGTTTATACCTAAGCCAAACCCGACTGAATGAAGATCCCGATCGAAAAACGAACCGAACCGAAAATAGAGATTTTGTACCGTGTATCACACCGAGAAAAAATACTGCGGTAAATCGATACTGCAGTGAACCGTTTCACTTCTATCATTTGTGCAGAAATTTTGTACTTTCAGATGCTTACTTTTTGAGTATCAATGAAAACTTATAGAAATTATTTTTTGAAAACATAATATTAATCGCTGAAAGATTCATAAAGGTACAGTATTTATAACAATTACAAAATTTACCAGCTGCATGTTTACTCTGAAAAAGTATCACCTTCATATATCAAAAAACAAATAAATAGTAGAGACCAATGCATTCTTACCTTACATCTTTTCTGGACAATAGCTAGCTGAGCCGGGGAGTTCTTAATTCCTGAAAATGAGAACAGATCCAGTTAAAGTGTCAGAGTTAACTATTTTAAAGTGGGTCTAAAGTTCTAAACCCTTTTCTGCTTAAATTGAAAATGATACCTTAAATAATAACAAGTATTTTCTAAGATACTGGTGATTTTTTATCATTAAAGTTGATAATTTATTAATACATTTTTCCCCTTAAAATTTACAGCACAGTGAAGTAATTTAGTGACATAAAATTGAAATAACAGAGAAAATTCGAGTAAATTAGATTGTTGTAGTTTTTCTGCATTATAATCGAGGTTTAAAACATCAATTATCCTTTGCCAAATTAATAAAATACCTGAAAAACACGAAAGAGATAGTGGTACTCGGCTCAAGCTAGCCATATTTGCATAATACGTTTTGATGCTGTCCTTCGAATGGTTTTGTAACTTCTTACGTCTTTTCAATGTTTTGTAATGAAGAGCGTAATTACAAAACAAAACCAGCGCCCTACTTTTTCCCGGAAAAGTTATTCAATAAGAAAAATAGCAAAGCAAAACAAATTGTTAACCTAGAGACACACTCTCATTTAGCCAATAAATTTTGACGAACATGGAAAATGGAAAAATCAAAGAAATTTAGCGGCAAGTATTAAATAAATCAAGACATAAACAAGAGATATGAAGGAAAAACGAGTCTCCTTGTCATTTTTAGAGGCGCCCGTCTTTCCAAGGAGGAATTCAATAAGTCATTTTTTGGGTATAATTTTTCTGAAAATTGAGGGAAGGGGGGATTGACCCTTTGTTTGCATCTAGTCTACGTCTGAAAGGAGAACGAAACTGATGTAAACTAGGTTATACTTAAGTTCTCACAAGATTTTACCAAATAAACAGCTTAAAAACTTACGACTTTTCAACTTTATACACAATCATTCCCCACGATAATTTAAAGTCGCTTCTCGATATCATTAATAGCTGTTTTAAAAAAAAAAAAAAAAATGGAACTCGTAAATTAACTGACCTTGTCATTGATCGTTTGCAAAATTATTTTGTTAAAAAAAAACTTCTGATTTTACAAATTTACAAGTACTCCGAAGCTGACATTAAAAAGATGCTTAAGTTTCTGATTGACAGTATCTTTATTGTTTTTGAAGACCAGCTCTTCCTAAAATCTATTGGAATTTCCATGGGTACCAATTGCGCCCCGTTATACCGGGTATGAAGCTGAATTTGTGTAAATCTTATACGTGAAAAGAAGAGCTGTGGCCTTCAACTCTACGAGGGTTGTCCCGTAAAATCGTGGACAAGTTGTCTAGTGTGAAAAATAAACATCACTGCGTTCTGAAATTTTCACTATTATTTAGTACATATATTAGTAATATACACAGCAAATTTCAGATAAATATATGCATCAATAAACAAATTATGAGATTTTATGCCATGTATTGTATCACCTTACGGCGCATGGATTATAACATCAAAGTGTCTTAAACCCCTGTCACACCAGGGCTGCGTCCTCACGGCGACTGCACGGCGTCCTCAAAAAATGCAAAACGCCGAGGTGATCACAGTAGAGTCTCCTACAGCGCCGTGACAACGCGGCGAGATCTCCACTGAACGCCGTAGGGTCGCATAGGGTCTCCAAGAACGCCAGGGGACGGCGATCACTTTGAGCATGCACAAAGTACTCGCCGTGTGATCGCGGTCTGATAAGAACGCAGTAGAAACGTAGTATGCAGCGCAGTGAGATCTCCAACAACGTAGTGGGAGCTCCGTATGAACGCCGTGAAGACGCACATGATCGCGGCAGGAACGCAGTGATAGTAGACTGCACTTCCACGGAGACCTCACGGAGATGTCGCGGAGTCTTTGGAGATGTCACTGCGTTTCTACCGCGTTTTTACGGCGCTTCTAATGAGATTTATCATCTTGTGATTTTTTCGACTGCGAGTACACAGCGACAGCACGGAGTTGTCACTGCGATCATTGCGCTCCCATGGCGTTTCTACAGCGTCCGTTGGCGATCACAATGCGCTTTCACGGCGTTCTTAGAGCGTTGTCAGCCAGCTCACAAAACAAAAGCAGTGGGATCATATTTGATCAGCAATAATTTCAACGCATTTGTTGCACTAGGAGTGAGAAAGAAAATGGAAGAGAAAATTACACCAGAACTTGTTCTGTTGTTTCACTTAAATTTTGTAGAAAACTTTTCGTTGTGTTTATTTTTTTTTTTTTTTTTACATTCATAATAAATTTAAAGACAATCTAACTACACAACTGAACCGATGAAATTGAAAATAAGGAGTTTAATCATAAAACTATTAATAATTCAGTACTAAATTATTTAAATATAGAACTTTTTAATTATTAAGAATATTTCTTGGCATGATTAGAAGTCTTTTCATCGTGTAACTTGAATCTTTAAACAAAAATGTTTTACATTCCTTCTGAATATATATCATTGTGTATAGAACGCATTGTGAACGTATTGTGAACGCAGCCAGCGCGGTGAAAACGCCGTGAACACGAGGTGAAAACTCCTAACGCGCCGTGAAATCTCCGCGGAAGCGCAGTCAGTCGCCGAGAGATCTCCGTGGAAACGCAGTAGAACGCCGTGAGATCGCCGTAGAATCGCGTCCGTCGCCGTAGGGACGCCGTGACATCTTCATATCGTGAAAATTTTACAGAAATTTGTGCAATTTCCCTGCGATTCCACGGCGATTTTTAAAATTTAACAACGCCGTAATGACTCCGTGTGAACGCAGCTTGGTGTGACAGGGCCTTAAAACAGCGTCACGTTTTATCTTTGCTGAAAATGAAGTTGGATGAGTCCGACTTAAATTTAGGAATTTCATTGATACACATTCTTTATTCTCCATAAACGGTCGAAGAACCAATTGGCACCCTCATGCGATCTTCTGAAGATTTATTAGTAAGTTACGGACAATATTCTCACCATAATTCAACTAATAGAAAACCTCATATCGGCGGTCTACTGTGACAGCGTCTTTTGCTATTACATTAGGAGTTTGTCCGTATGTTTTGTACTCCCCAGGGACTCGATCAAAAAAAAATTCGGTAAGAAAACTCCTATTTCATTTGTATACTTAAGATATGGTGATATTTTTATAATCTTTTTTCTTCTATGGTAATTTCAAGTCTCTAAATGTGACATTACAACATCAAAATAAAACTGAACTGTTCTCCGGTGCGCCGTAACGTACGTAATAAAACGTCGCCATTTTTCATGTGTTGTGTTTACCACTTTCCCATTTAGAATGCTCGAGAAACTGCCAAAAATTAAGCAAATGCTTTAAAATTTTTACAAAGACTACAAAATTGATTGTGGAATTGAATTAGGATAATTTTAATCCAAATCTTATGTATTGAAAACTTTTATTTTGAATTCAAACTTGTGTATTCTTTAATAAAACCTTGGTTTTTTGACCTTGCGCCGTAGGACAATACCTCGTGCACATTCAAGCATAATAAAATCTTTATTTTTGCCTATATTTTATCAAAAAAATTATCATGCACTTAGGTATGATAAATATACATTTACTGAAATTTTCAGCTTAGTGCGCCCATTACTTTTCGAGAAAAACGCTTTGTCTACGATTTTACGGGACAACCCTCGTACATTTAGATATATCGACGACGTATTATCATTTAATTAACAATGGTAATTTCCATTCTTACGATATATCCTGGTGAGTTTGAGGTGAAAGATACAACAGAGTCTGACACAGCTGTTTTATATTTGGATATTTTACTTGAAAAGACGTTAATGTTAATCTATCAACCAAGCTGTATGATAAACGTGATGACTTTAACTTTTCTATCTTCAGCTTAGCTTACTTAAGCAGCAATATACCTTCATCACCTGCATACGGAGTTTATATATCTCACATGTTAATTATTGCGATTTGATTATTTTTTTTATATGATATCAGCGATATTTTATTTAAATATAAACAAATATCCTCTCTCTCTCTCTATCTCTCTCTCTCTCTCTTTGAGTTTTTTCAAGCTGTATATATGGCACGCCAAATTTACAAAAATGAGCTTAACCTAGTTTCACAATTGATAAACTAGGTTTATCGACTGTAAACTATAGTTTACAAATCGTTTTCATCTGTATAACTATATTTAATTAACGGTTGTAACTATAGTTTACGAATGATAATCTAAGTTTATCTGTCTGTAATAAAACGTTTACAATAGATTTTGTTGATAAACATAGATTCACGTCTGTAAACTATAATTTACAATCGTTAACTGTAGTTAAGAGTTGAAAAACACAGTTTACAAATCGTGAAACTGTATTTATCAGATAATCTATGTTTTGCGATCGCAAATGATTTTTTTCGGTGTTAAGTATAGTTTACGGTTGTGAAACATAGATTATCGCGTTAACTATGGGTTACAGATGTAAAATATAGATTAACGTTGTTAACTACAGTTTACAGTCCGTAAACTATAGTTTACAACCGATAAACCTAGTTTATCGATTGTGAAACTATGATTATCTCATTTTTAGCCGGGCTTATTGCTCAAAGAGCAATTGCCGGCTTATGTGATCCTGTTCAAGGCAGGATGTTGACCCCATAGTCGCCATTTTAAAGTTACGTGCAAAAATATAGTTCTTACTCTCAACCGCTTTTGAGATAATACAAACGCTAAATAAAGAACAAAACTAAAACGAAGTTTTATCTATATAAAATAAACATTAGTAGTAATGACTTTGAAAACTTCATAAGTCAAAGAACATAGTTCATTAGCGTAAGGATTTTTGATAATCGGTGTTACCGTACTTCTCTACACATACGACGTAAAGCAGGAGAGGGAACCAGACTGGCCTGTTTGTTTACATTCAGCTGCGGTACCAGATTAATTCTGATTCTGACAAAATCGGACCGTGGTATCAGGATTGAAAAACTCACTGTCAGTGTCTTACCATTTATATTGATAGCTTTAAAATAAATTTTTCAGAATATAAACGTGATTCATGTAAGAAATCCATTCTACTCTGTAAATGAGCCCGGCTCTCTGTACTTCTGAGTACTTTGATTGTGAATTTGGCGTGCCATATGCTGTAAAAAATAACCTTTGCCCAAATAAACAAGGCGCACACTACGATTAGTTTGTATACACATGACAAACGTGTTTCCTAATCCGTCCAAAGTATTATGGCGCATTTTCTTCTATTTGTCCGCTTTTAAACACATTGTAACTAAGTGACTTCAAAAAATTTGAAATGAGCAATTTTCAATTACAAAGTGTTTAAAACAGTATCAGTTCTATTTCACACGTATTCTAATTTTTTCCGATTTCAAATTTTATATGGGTACAATCACTGGTCCCGAGAAAACTAATGAGATACGGGAAGTTAGGAGAGTTACGTTCGTTCGTAAGATGTCAGTGTTTTTTCTGTTTTATCTTATATCTCAGTTGATTCGATAGGCAAGACCATACTCTACGTATGAACATTTTCTAAAACGAGATAAATTATTGACAACAAGTTGATGAAACAAGAATATCAGCAGCCTCGTTTAAAGTCATCATTTCGTCAGTTCTTTGGTCGATACAATGACCTTGTCAGCAAATACAATTTGTCATTGTGATTGAGTCAAATTCTGAATTGTTTGTCCATAACATATAAACTGAACTGAATTTGACGACGGATTTTTCCGAAATTTCCCGATTTTGACAAAGAGCACACGGCGGGTGTGACCGGCTGGCAGAGGATGCTCACTCCTCCATGGTACACGATCCCCCCTCTGATGTTTTGGAGGTCCGGGTTTGCTCTGACCTATTTTGTATTGTTTTATGGACTTTGATATATTGAATACTGTTTGATATCTCCAAATGTTTCATCTCCATAAGTTTCATTTTCATGGCTGTCAAAAAACTGATATGTGTTCATTTTGGCAATTTCAATTAAAACTGAGTTAACCTCATTAACCATTATAAAATAACATTATCAAATTCTTTCTTCATGAAATAAGCAATTTTACGTTTTATAGTTTTACTTTAAATCTCAGAATTGAACAATTAAATCAATGGCTTTATCAGTCCAAATAAACGTACCCAGAATGTAAGTTAAAAATTGCAGAATTGAAAGTCCCGTTTGCCCCACCCCACCAACTTACCCCCTTTTTGTTGCAGTATAGCCCCCTTCCGGTCCGTAACAGTGTTTGGGCATTTTTTTGGCGGGGGGGGGGGGATTTACGGCTTTCAGTGGTCATCCTTGGGTTTACATAGTCACAGTGTCTTATACATTTAGTAGTATGTTCATATAAATCATATAAAAGTTTTAACATAAATTAATGGATGTAAATTCAAAAAACAGAACAAGAGATATAGAAAAATGATATATGAAATTAGAAATAATAATAATTTCTTCAAATATCCCAGTTTTGTTAGATATTTTAACAAATTTAAAGTTGGCTTTTCCACCTTTAATCTTGTTTTTTTTAAACTTTAAAGTTGGCCTTTCAAACTTATATAAAATGTTCATATAAATCTGTTATCTTTTAAAACTTTAACTTGGGTAATTTTATCTACAAAAGCTTTTACCAAGTAATTTTTTTTTTAAGTTGGTAAATTCCAAATTTAAAGATGGCTTTTCCAACTTTAATCTTTTTTTTTCCAACCATAAAGTTGGCTTTTCCAACTTTAATCGAGGCTTTTCCAACTTTAAAGTTGGTTATTCCCCAAAAAAAATTACGTGGCACTTACGCTTGAACCGCAATGATATTGTTTTTACAACCTATGTTATTTTATTTGTATTTTAATATATCTCGATTTCATGTTTCAACCTATGTTCTATTATATGCCATTTCCTGAATAAATTCTTGCAAACATGATTTTGAAAGTTCCTACTTGTATTTTAATATATCTCGCGCAATGTTTGAATGGAGCGTAGCTATTATATGCCATTTCCTGAATAAATTCTTGCAAACATGATTTTGAAAGTTTCCCGCGGTCTTTATTATTAACTAGTTCTCAATTCAGGTGCGCGTTAATGAGAACCAGTTTACAGTCAATTTGGATGTCGTAAAATTACCATAATAAAACCTTCGTGACAACGACATCAACAATATCGGATCGAAAAACGATCCAGTGTTAGTGAAATGCATGTTGCATGTTATTTCTTTATGGATTTTCACCCACTATATAAATGTAAGTATTTAGAGCGTATTTTTGAAATTGATGTAACCATTTGAAGAGCATTTAATTTAGGAAATCGTTTAAACAAAAATTAACATAAACAAATTGAGTTGATTCACACGATTGCCTTGCCGATAAATATTGATTCAATATTTCATTAAACTGCTATGTTGTTTATTTTAGTATATACACACATAGATTCGACTGAACACGTTTCTTGAATTAAAATAAACTTGCCTAACATTTTAAAATACACCAGGTTCAAAGTCATTTCATTGACACAAACGAGTAAGCCTTTTATTATATTTATTGGCACTAGGCCGTAAAACAGATAGCTCTAACGATAGGGTACTAAAACAGTTAACATACACCTCTGTATAAACCATTATGAATTCATATGTGTTTAGAACTATGATAAAATTAAGACATCATGAATTGGTAAATATAGGCAGAAATAGACTAAGATCAGATGATTCAAAGGTCATTTCAAACAATAGATTGTAAGAAAATACAATAAAGCAGTTATGAAAGGGTAGGGGGTGTTTTGAATCCTTTTTAGATGATTAATGAAATTTACCTGACAGAAGAACATATAATCTCATTAAGCATGTTAATTGACTTGCATGTTCATGCTATTTAAACAGATATATAATGCTTTCTTTGTTTGCATTGACTTGCATGTTCGGGTTATGTAATGAGTGTAATAACAAACAAAGAAAGCATTTTTGTTTAAATAATGATCCAACTGATATATTTGAGTTGAATATTATGGTGGTTCAATGCACATTTGGTCTTTATATAGAAATAAGAAATGCTAGATTAGAGTTAAAGTTTGAAATAGATTTTTTTATTTAATGGAATTAATTAAATGAAAAGAATTAATCAATGTAAAGTTCATCCGGTTACCATTTTAAATAAACTCTGAAGATTATAATTGTAGCAGTTATATTAAGATATCTTAGGTTGCTTTAACTTCAACTATTTCCACTGTTTTTTGATTTTATGTTTTCAGGAGATCAAAAAGAAAAAAAAATCTGAAAGGGTTACATTATTGCAGCCTAGATGTGCATGTGTATCTTCATATAACTATAAGGGTGATTTTTCAATATAGGTTTTATAATAATTTGATATCTCTCTTCTGCAGTAAAAAGTTATATATTAATATGAGAGAAAAAAGGATGGTGACTATAATCTCATCAAGTTTATAAGCATTATTTTTTAGTATGTCTGTTTCAACAAAACTTGCTTCAAAGCATTCTTGTGTAAAGGAGCTTCAAGTATGCATGTTGAAATGAAAGGCCTTACCCTCTTTCAAGGGGAGATAAATAGGAATTAGTAAAAATTAAACAACATCTTTCAAAACCTTCTTAAAAAGAAAGCCTTGATCAGAAAGGATGAAAGTTAGATGAAAACATATAGATTCAAGTTTTAGGTTCAATGACCAATGGCCAGATAACTCAATTGCTAAAGCACCTGACTGAAGATTCAGGGGCCTGGGTTCAAATCCTGGTCTGATCTAGAGCTGCTGCATTTTCTCCTCTACTATAGCTGTTAGATTTAGTGCCATGCCATGCCTTGGAACTGACAGGTGAAAGACCTGTCGGAAAAGAGCCCGAGTTGGTTTCTTCAGGGGATGAAGACCTTTAAGGAGGGAGGAATGTGGTTCAATCACTAATGGTCAGATAGCTCAGTTGGTAGAGCACCTGATTGGAGATTCAGAACGGTAGGGCCTAGGTTTGAATCCCGGTCTGGTCTGCTTCAAATTTCTCCTCTTCCGTCACCGAAACAGATGATTACAGATGATATATAGACACAACATAATTACTGTCTAAATGATAAAAGTAACAAACACACCCATTGTCTAATTCTGTAGTCTAGAGCATATTTTAATTAATCAGGGTATTGCTAATTGTACTTAGTAGAAGATATCTTCAGTTGGAAAATTGCCCTGTACTAGTCCAATTATGCAGACAATGTCAGCTTAAAAGCCATATTAACAATTCGTGCTGTGTATAATATCTGCAATCCAAGTTGTACATCAAGGAATTGAAATGAGTCCAGTATTATTACTGATTATAGAATTATAACCATATAACATGTATAAGTATGAATGATATACTGAGAGACTGGAGGTAAAATCACAGTTGAATCTGGTCCAAGGTCAGTGCCCAGGTATCTCATTTATAATTAACAGGTGTTAATGCTTCAGGTGTAGCGGGGTTTTCTTTATGCTTTTTACATCTGTCTCTGGTGGACTAGCATCCATTAATGTTGATTATCTCTGATTAACTAAACATGTCTGTTTCTCTCTCTCTGGACGGCTGTTTTACAATCATGGATTAAAATATCCTAGAAGTTACACTAAATTTGTTCTTGGGAAGTCTTTCTGTAAAGGTAATGTCCAGGAATGAATGGAGCATTTAAGTGTGACATTTAATGGAATTATCAAGATTATAGTAGCAGCTAATTCCCGTCTTTTATTAGACTTGAGATTCCAGTTTGTTTAGTAATGAGCACCAGAGTGTTTAATGGGCAAACAAAGAACGAAGTACCTCAGATATATTTGGGCTCCGAGGGACAATATTACCCAGAGTTCAAATCTCTGGGCTGATTTTGAAATCGAGTAATCTTTATATAAGAAATACACCTTGCTGAGGGAATATGCTTAGCTCTGAACACAGTGTTGCGTCTTAGGCTTTTTAATACCATGAACTTCAGAACCTTTCCATTAATTGTATGACATCTATATCTCTGGACAGCTTCTTTTGAATTTAGAAATCAAGTAATCTGTATAGGAACTACACAATGTTGAGGGAATTTTATTACCTGCATGTATTTCTCAATCTCTAAGTTAAAATGACAAGGTATGGTCATATTACATTATTTATATATGGAACATTTTTTAAAGAAAAAGTATACCTGGTAATTGTGAAATTTTAATTGTACGTCATTTTTATAATATTTGCTGTTTGTTATGTGTACAGTTCACCTGATCAGAAAGATGAATCTGGAATAGAATTTGAGGTCCAGACACAGGAACAGAGGGGGGAGACTTCAGCATTAACCAAAGAACAAATTCACGAAGAAATTGAACAACTTATCAGAGGCATGGAGGTGAGAAATGCTATTGCCTCAACTTCTTATGAAGAATTTTGATATGCATCAATCATAATTAAGAGTCTCCAGGTTTCCTCTTCATTACTCTACATCCAACACTGTGTATTAAACATAAACAGGTTCTTTATCATTTTAATATATACGTTTATTTAACTTGTTAATAGGTTAACCCTGGTCAGTTTGAAAATTTGGCCAAGATGACCAGAATGGCAATGCCATCATCTTCTCTGAGCCCCGCTGTAAAAGACTTACACACCGCTGTCAAACTTCGCAATGTTCACCCTCCATCCGGAATCCAAACAGGGAGTCAGAAACGGAGCTTTTACACGGACAGCGACACAGAACAGACAGCCACTCCGCGACCATCGAGTTACCGTAGCTACGACAAAACACAACAAACCAAAGACAAATCCCGACTCCTATTTTACAGGGTATGTAGTCAGTGCGAGATACCTGACTCCACCCCCACTTCTATAGTTAGGTACTGGTAATAAATACCTGTGTGTCTTAGCAGTCTCATTTAGGACCCCTATAAACTTAATCTTACCGAGATATTGTATTTTATTTCCCCTCTTTTTAGCTGTAATATGTAAATCATTCTAAGAAAATGTACCGTAGTGCCAACATATGAAATTATGAGAGGACCATATTATAACCACTTTTCAGACCAAATCTCATAATTGTTTAGAAATTTCCTTTTGGTGTTTAGTATAATACTGTCTAAAGCAACATCTACATATATAATGATTTACCTGTATGTACTCTGGAATGATGGTGAGATAAAATAGTCACCTGTACGAGTTTCTTTACTAAATAAACAGTACGTGCCATTGGAGATCTCCTAATATTTAAAAAAAAACTTATAATATTCCTTCATGCTAAAATATTTTACATTTAAGGCAATAACTTTGTTTATCAATAGTCTACAGCTTCACCTTGGTCAATATTGATATTTTTCTGGTGAATAACAAACCATATTCAGCACACCAAAAGAGTCCATAATTGTATAATAATCTTTTTAAAGAAAGGAAAAGAAAACAACTTTTTTTATTACGTACCTCACATAACTTATGCATAAGCCAAACTTTTTCCATAGTCTGTCATTGTTGTCAGCTGCAATAGCAGCATAAAATTCTCACAATTTTCTTGTCTTTTCTAGAGCCGCTGGACCAATTTTTCAAAAATACATTTATTTTAAAAACAGCCTTTGTCATTTGTTTTTGGGAGAATATATAACATCAAAATCTTAAGAAAATCATCTTGGAATAGTTGATGATTTTAGTAAATTTGGGGGAGGGATGCAGGTTAGTAGCAGTTTGGTTTTACAGTATGACATTAAATGAGTAATGGGTTCACCTTAATAAATTTAGAATGTATAAAATGTAGTGTACATGTATTTATTTATCTCTTGGCTTCTGATATTTGTTGATATAAGAACCATTCAATGGTTGATAAAACAAAGTGTACCATGTGTACAGAGCAGACATATTTTGAAATATAATTGTTTGTCCCTGAAGTCAGAAAATTGTCTTGTTTTGTCAATTGGTTTAAAGGGCCTGGCAATAAGATTGGGGCAGGAATTAAATTTAATTGTTTACAGTGCTTGCAAATTGTTGACAGTAAGATTTGAAATTAAAAGACCACAGGATTAGAGATGACTGTAATCATGTGTTAGTTATTAGTATGTGGATTACTAAGTCAATTCTCGAACCAAATTAATATTTCTCATAACCTAGTTGCTATCAGTCGAGATATACATGTACATGTATTTTAAATTCTTGGAACTGAACTGACTCATCAAAACTTATGTATACACCTGAAAGTAAACATTCAGTTGCTAAGCCAATGAATTTAAGATTTAACAAGAATAAAAAATAAACCTAATGAAACTAAAAAGGTTATGAGTGAAAGAAATCAAATATAGATTCATTTGATGTAAATTTTGTGAAACTTATAATGACTATGACACTATGAAGGTACATGTAAAACACAAGGCGGTAAACACAAATTTGAATTTACATGTAAGACAAAGGTCATCTTCAATCTTCATGCTTAAACTAATATACTAGCTGAAATGTTATTATTATATGGAATTTTCCTTGGATTTCAGGACCCTTTCCCAGGGGGTATACCAGTGGGGGAGGAATTTTCTGTGGAGAATCGAGCGAATCTAGAAAGGATGAGAAACAGACAGATGCACAGAGAAAAACTCCGACTGGCCCAGGAACAGGTGAGAGATCTAATGAATATAATACAAGAGAGAGAAAGTAAAAGTGTGGCTGGCACAGGAGCAGGAGTGAGAGAGGAAAGAGAGAGTAATACTCCCACTGGCCTAGGAACAGGTGAGAAAGAGCATAGAGAGCTTAGAGATTGAGACAGAGAGAGAGAGAGAAACTGATTGACCTTGGAACGAGAGAGAGATAGTAAAACTCAGAGCAATACAGGAGAGAGATCACGATCGACACACAACAGGGGTAGGCAGAAAGAGGGAGGAGGGCGATTATGATATTCAGAAACTATTATTAAAAGCTGTACCGTATATAAGAGAAACTTAGATTGATATTTCTCATTGAATACTTTAGAGTTTTAGAGGGGATTCTCATTTTTATAAAAACAGCTCTGATTTCTTTGAACAGAATAGCTACACAGATAAAAGGAAGAGGGTGTACACAAGGAAACAGAGAGACCAGAGGAGAGCACAGCAAATGGCGGGGCAGATCCTGTCCCCAGAGGTCATGTCAGATATAGACAACAGGTAACACACTGTCAGCAGTCAGGGGAGGAGGGGGTTTAAAATTTTTATCTGTCTTTCAGATGTGTAATTTTCTCTTCATTTCTTTGTCTATCAGTCATTTACAAGAAATATTAAATGTATGACCATCAATGAGCATTAATTGCCCTGTATATCTTTTTTATAAATGAAGATTGCTTTTTGACTCACCTAGTTAGCTTACAACTATAATTTGTGTTTCTGTAGATATCCTCCCAGTGACCTGGGGTCAGAGAGTCAGTGGCGCCGGAGCCGCAGTGGTTACTCCACACCAGGGGGAAGCTGTGTAAGTCAAGAATAGATTTCAACATTTAACGAGGGTTCAGTACATGTAATAACATGTTTATTACTTGGTACATGTAGTTGGATTTAAAAATAAATGTTATGAATAAAGTATTTGCATGATCAGAAATATTGTTGGAAAGGAAAAATAAAATACCGTATAATCCCTATTAACTGCCCCTGCCCCCATAAGCACCCCTCTAGGTCTTTTTTAATTGTCAGGAAATAAGGACCCCCTGTACAGTAATTAAAATCATCTAGAATTGTATCAAAAGTCTGCCAAGATTTGAAGAAAGTGAAAATGAAGCTTTCTATATTCCAATTTCTTGGTGGAAAATGAATCATTTAGCATACTGGGTAATATGGATGGATTATCTTAACTTAAAGTAAAGTTAGACATATTATAGTGTTTCTTTGAATTTATTTTTTTTTTCAAAAGATTTTTTGAAATTAAAATATGACATTAAATTTTAGGAAGAGAATACCAAAATAACCGCCCCTTTTCGCAATTTTCTAAGCGCTCAGGGTGGTTAATAGGAATTACACAACTGTATACGATAATGTCAAATTCTCAAAATATCTACAATGAAGCGCATTGAAGTGGTAAAATTTTCCATTCGAATGGAACGTTTTGAGCTATCTTTAGAACGTTTATTGTCATCTTATGACACGCCCATTTCTTTAGAAATGGATAAAACGGTCAATTTGTTTATTCGAATACCTGTAGAACAGGTTTTCCATAAATATAATAGCCAATCTAATTGACGGTCTAAATAAACACCGAGTAAACGCGTGTTCGACCGAAACATGTGTTGTGGTAACTATAAGAGACATGATAAGTTCAAAAATGTGTTCATATTCGTTGCAATTTGAGTTTTACGGAAGCGGGTAGTCTCTAATTCTTTCTTCTAATTTTATTAAAGCTTGATTTCAGTGTAACTCATGTTGTTTGTCACGAAGAGTGGGGTGTCCTAAAACATTACGACGAATATTTCTTTCTCGTTTCTAAAAATATGGGCGTGTCATTATGTTATAATTGACGTTCAAAACATGACTCAGAACGTTTCATCCAAACGGAAAATTTTACCACTTCAATGCGCTTCATTGTATCCCATACATGAGGAAGAACTAAAATAAATTAAAATTTGTGTCTTTCTTTCCTTAACCTCTTTTCATTTCCACGGCAGGATGAGATGAAGTTGGGAAGAAACATGAGAGCAGCTCCACGTCACATTATAGACTCCATGGATGCCCTCAGATCAGCCAATCAGCTCAGAGACAAGGTACGCTACCAATAAACTGTGACTTAATTATATCCAATCAAAATAGATTAGAACCGAAGTACATTCCTAACAGACTTAAGTTTTCTTCTGATGTACTCAGACTTAAGTACACCCCTAGTATACTTAGACTTAAGATCCCTAGCAGTAGGCTTCAGTATGCTCCAAAAATACTCAGATTATGGAAGAAGCAAAATTAAGGTCAATGACATACAAAAAGTCTGAAACATAACTAGTAGGGAAGCTGGAAAAAACTTAGATCTACAAAGTTGTGCCTCAGAGGAGTTAGACATGAAGCATCCCTCTTCCCTGTCAACTCAAGAGTTGTAGAATCTGATTTTTCATTTTCCTTGTTAGTGAGTACCTTTAGCATGGTTAGTTAGCTTTACAGTAAGGAGTTTTATTCCAGTATATATAAAATGTTATTTATTTTACTTTCAGGACAAGATAGAACGACTTAACAGACAGCAGCAGCTCCTACAGCAGCAGAGAGATCAGAGGAAGAAATTCCTGGAGGAACAGCGGCTCCGAGAGAAAGCCCAGCTGATGGTGAACAAAGCTCTCCTGACAGACGAACTCAGTAAACACAGGTCCAACAGGTCTAGTCGGGAGAGCTTAACCGGGTTAGGAAGGCGATCTATCTCCAATAATTCCCTGGTGAAACGCTCAGTGTCTAATGGCTCCCTGAACAAACGCTCAGTCTCCAATGGCTCGCTGGCAAATGCTGATGGAGAGATGGAAAAAGAGGACAAAATGTCGGACAAGGTTGACCCTGAACCTGAGGGGCCCTCTCAAGGTCGAATGTCAAGGTTATCAAACCCAGCCTCAGAAAAAACAAACAAGAGTTCGGACTTTTTTGATAATGCGAGGATTGAAGGACAGGGGATTTTGAATGATTCGGACAATGCGGAGGAAAATGATAAACTGATGTCTGCGATACGCAGTGAATATCAGAGACTGAGTACATCATGAGATCATAGGATGTGAGATCATACTCGTGTACTCGATATTGTGATTCATCTCAGCTCAACAAGGTCACAAGCTCTACATTATCATGTTGGAATAAAGTTAATGCATAAGTAAGTTTGGTGCATTTCCCTAGCATTTTTAGTTGAATATTTTCAGTGAACAGAAAAGGAGAATATAGTAATCGTAATATTGTGTGTGAAAAAATAGCAGTTGCATTTCATTTGTGATATTACATGAAGAAGTAAAACTCCTTTGTGTACAATCCATTTGGATACTAAATGAATTCATTAATGTATATCTGAGTCTTACTGAAAAGATAAAAAATATTTATGTTGCAAGAAAAATACATTATGAATTGACATGTATAGTAATTTTGAATGAACTGTTCATTAGATAAGTACTTAATATTACCTGAATAGGACTAGAAGGCAAACGTTTGGCATGTTCACTTGTTCTAGGAGCATAGTTTCCAGGAAAATCATTTCATTTAATATTTAGCAGCATTCTCATTCTTACAATTCTGTTTATTGTAGTAAATATTTTACATGTATTTCAAAATTAACTTGAAACAAAAATTTGTTTTATTGAAGACAGAGGTACTTAAAATTATATTGCATGTTGGACATTGTAAATTGTATCTCTGTACTACAACAAATTCTTCTGAGAAACAAGTACATTGACTAATGAAATTATACCTGTATACAGGTATGTAATCTGTGATCAGTATTGACCTAGGTAAGGTCTGAACCCAGGGTTCTGTGAACTACAGGGGTGATTGAAATGCATTTTGTTCCTCGATGAACCAAATACGTTTTATACAATTACAATATTGTTTTAATAGAGAGATTTTACTACAAGTCTTGACTGTGATGATTATGTATGTATGAATGCAGTTGTTGATCGCTGCTTTATTTTTGTACTTATCTATTTATAGAGTGAGTAGCGTACAGTCATTGGTTACTATTTATAGGAATGAGTAGAGTACTGTCATTTGTTAGTCTGTTAAACGGTGATGAAGGTTTTACATGTAGTTTACAAGAAATAAAATTGAGAAACAGAGAGTTGTTGTTTTGATTGCTGTTTCCCTTGTGTAGACAAAATGTCGGTGTGGACTTAAGACCGAATGTATAATGTACAAACTTGAGCAGCTAGTACACCATTCAGTATATTTGGGTATTAAAAACCAATGAATTGGTCAAGGTGTTATGAATTTGTTTGAAGTCTTTAAACAGACAATTGGATTAAGATCTACATTCAGGGCTTTGCGATATGTATGGATGTATTTTAAGGTTTTAAAATGCATTCATAATGATTTAAATATCCCATATATTGACATTTTGGACATGCTTTAATTACATGCATTTGCAAACCCACACCTGAAAGGTATTTACAGCATAAGAGAATTACACTCTCTAAATATTGATTGGGGTATTTTCTGGCCTATTCCATTAAGCTTGTGAATAAGATTTATATTTACTGCTGAAAATCCTTAACAACAGGCCTTTATCGATTTACGAGTTGTTGCTAACACATTTTGTGTAGAGAAATGTTTACATGACACTTTTGATTCAGAGTCTGAGAACTATTTTATTACACTATAGACTTGTCTGTCAGGGTTTGATGCTGCCACAGGAATGGGATGGTGAAAATCTGCCTTGGGGGAAAAAAAATAAAGCAGCTTTTAAAATACAATCACAGTACATTGTATGTCACAGATGTAAAACCTGACAAATTATTTGTCTTTAAAGTCAACAGCTTAGTGGTTGAAAAGCACAGAAGTCCCTTAGTAAATCTCATGGAATATACATACATGTAGTAGACTTATAGTCATGTTTGTTGAGTGGTAAACAGAGTAGTCTGATAGTCATGTCTATCTAGTCAAGTAAAAGAATAGTCCCATAGGCATGTCCAATGGAATATTGGATAGTCTAAATGATAGTCATGTCTGTCTAGTGGAATCATGTCTATATCTAATAGTTCACAGAGTAGTCTGATAGACAAGTCTGTCTAATGATGGTATACAAAGAAGTCTTACAATCATGTCTATAAGTCATGTCTATATAATGGTATACAAAGAAGTCTTATATAGTCATGTCTATAAGTCATGTCTATATAATGGTATACAAAGTATAGTCTGTTAGACACAACTGTCTAATGGTATACAGAGTAGTCTGATAGTCATACCTATTCAGTGGTATATAGAATAGTCTCATAGTCATATCTTTCCAGTGGTATATAGAGAAGTCTGAAAAACAAATCTCTCAACTGAAATTCAGAGTAGTTTCATAGTCGTGTCTATTTCTAATGTATACGTCAAGTAGTCTGATAGACATGTCTATCTAATGACTTACTGAATATTCTAACAGTCATGTCTATCTAATGGTATACATAGCCTCATAGTCAGGTATACAAAGTAGTCTGATAGTCATGTCTATCTAATGGTGCTTAGGGAAGTCTTATAGACACATCTGTCTAATGGTTTACAGAGTAGCCTCAAAGTCATGTCTAAAATTAATTGCATACACAGTATTTTCAAAGACCTAGTAATATAAAGGGTAGTCTGTGTCTCATATATACACATCTGCCTAATCTTATACGGATTAGCCTCATAATCATGTCTATCTATTGGTTTACAGAGTAGCCTCATATAGTCATGTCTATTCCTTAGATAGAAACGACTATCGAACTTATCTATATACCATTACTTTTATGGTATATAGATAAGTTTGATAGTCGTGTCTATCTAAGGGTTTATAGAATAGATTCATATATATATATAGCAATGTACATAGAGAAGTTCGATAGTCGTGTCTATCATATTGTGTACTGAGTGTATTAGACATTACTACTGAGTAGCCTCATAGTAATGTCTATTTAGTGGTACACAGAGTGGTCTAGTAGCCATGTCTCTCTGATTGAAATACAAAATATCAGTAGTTATTTCTTTTTAGATGGATCGAATTCAAGTATTGTACGTACCGCTGTCTATAAAGGAATCGACATGGCTGTTTAGTGAATTACATATTACATAGTACTTATCATTTAATTAACATGAATTAACTATTGAAAAAAAATACCCACAATGTCTATGTATTTTGAAGAATTTTGTGAATGAAAAGTGAAACAAAGAAATGGAATAGATAATATTTAATATATATATATATATATATATATATATATATATATATATATATATATATATATATATATATATATATATATATATATATATATATATATATATATATATACGCCAAAGTCCGATGGTTCGCCAAACCCCGATGGTCTGCGCCATAACCCCGATGGCTCAAAATCTTTACGGGCGAAAATCCGATGGCCACGCCAAAGTAAAAAAGGCTAAATCGTTTCCTATGAACGCGCGACGCTAAAGTGCGATTTTCTGACACGCCGAAGTCCGATGGTGCGGATGAACACTTATCAACGTTTATGACGTCACCCCCCCCCAACGTCAATCCTTGACGCCGTTGTGGTTGCATTCAAAAGCAATCATTTCTGAATTCGTCCTTGAACACAATTTTTATTATTGATTTTGCTTATTGCTTGCACCTTCTAAAAATATTTGAAGAATTGGAGGCCGGAAAATTGATGAGACCGTATAAACCGAGGCTTTTTGTCACAGTAGGTGCTGGCATTCAATCACATCACCACTGAACTTCTGCATAAATGGATTAATTTGACAGCATAAAACAAAAAGTGTGTTCCACCAGCAAATGGTGGCGTTCCAAATGAGTGAAATATATATTCTCGAGATTTCGACGTTAAACAATATACAATCAATCAATCAATCTAGAGATATAAGGGTTCTGTGTCGCACACCACTTGATTGATTAGGGTTAGTCCTTGCATTGCACAACCCGAGTGAATTAGGGTTAGTCCTCGCACCAAAGTCGAGTGACTCTTTATTAGCGAGACATAATTTTCAAGATATTGTAGGTTTTTTCTATACACACTGGTAAGGAATACTTTTTAAACCTGCATGAGAGTATATAACATAGTTTTGCATTTATTTATACTTATTTTAAAGATTTGCATGTCGCGGCTTGACCTCAGTTACTATGACGTCATAAACGTTAATTGTTTTCCGCACCGTCGGACTTTGGCGTGTCAGACCATCGGGGTTTAGTCTTGACCATAACTTTCGTGACCATCGGACTATAAAAAACGCACTTTGGAGTCCTACATATATATATATATATATATATATATATATATATATATATATATATATATAGATATATATATTGCGCTCCTACAGTGGTTGAAAGGGGGGGGGTCGTGTGCACAATAATTAAAACGACCAAAATCAGTCTGAAAATAGTTTGACAAGCTAAATAAAAAAGGCCTAAATAATTTTCGTAAACACATAAAACTGTTTTCCAAAGAAAAGAGGAATGAGATACCGTATGACTGTATTAAAAAATATCGCAATACACTAATTAGCCCCCCCCCCCCCCCCCCCCGGATATCCGTCCGATAATCCGTGGTTTTGCAAGTGCAATATTTGAATAAATGAAGACCAATTTTTATTTAAGAAATTCATCTGATTAAAAAATATTTGAAGAATTCAGTTGGAAAATGTGCAGATAACTTTTTTTTTTATTCTTGGTTCTCATTCAATCACATCACCACTGAACTTCTGCATAAATGATTAATTTAGACATGATAAAATAAAAAGTGTGTTCTAAAAATGTTTGAAATTGTGAATATATATTTTTCCTTATTTTGCGGTTCATCAACCTCTATGTTAGATATGTTCTGTGTAAGAAATACTTGATCTACTAGCTGTAGATCACTAAATTTCCGCGACATCTTATTTTCGCGAGATAGTCATTGACTCTTTATTAGCGAGACATAATTTTCACGAATTGTTGTTTTTCCTCTATATAATGGTAAGGAATACTTTTTAAACGCGAGAATGAAGTATATAACATACATTTTGCTTTTTTTCTGCTAACTGATTTTGGAAGAGATTTTCATGTGTGAAACAGGGGCATAAAGAGGCTGCATATTGTAGCCGCCAGACAAAAATTTTAAAAAAATTTTAAAAATAGTGAGATTGTTTTTCTTTTTAAAATGATTTTTTAAACAGAAAAAATTCATTGGATAGTAACGGCAATGCATGTTCTGTGGTCAATGGAGCGGCAAAGTGTGTACAAGCTATTGTTTACACATACGTCAAAACGGGATATACAAAAACATGCAAAATCTATAATACCTGTACCTGACGTGTGTAAAAAAATTAAATAGTCATTAGGATTGCTTAGTGCGGGTTTGCTACAAATTGTTCATTGTCCAATTAATTGGACAAAAATAAAAATTACTCATCAATTATGATGATTTAAACAATTACGAAAATATTACAACGTATAATATTAATAAAGTGGAAAACTGAAAAAATTAGTTAAAATCATATATAAAAAATTTGAGATGATTTTTTTTAAATATTATGTGTTTATTCTACATTTCAATTTCAAAAATGGCCGGATTAAAAAGTATTAATCAACCTGTTAATTCTAAATTTTACGTTCTTTGGCATATGAGCATGACAAAGATAAGTCTAACGAGTTGTATTGGTTTAAACAATACGCATGGTTACATTGAGTAAGTACATTTAAAGATATATATTTTTTATCTTTTCAATGATAAAAGGATACAAATTTTAATATATTGATTGTGTTAAAGCAATGTTAATGTACATGATTACACTTCATAAAAGAAAAAAAGAGGAAAAAAAAAAAATAATATATTGAAATTAAAAGGCTATCAAGTGTATCGCCATCTAGAAACAACTGTTGGAAAGACAACATAAGAAGATGGACTTTGTCTTAAAGTTCTATGGAAATTTAATAAGACCTCTTTTCTCCAAATTAAAAACTGTTTAGCATACTAGCTTATAGCTAACATCCCCTATTCATAAATCAAATGAGATTCCTCAACTGTTCCAAGTCATTTATAAAATAAAATGGTGGTGTTATTTAAATGAATCTATGCTGAAAATTGAAATAAAATGATCAAATGCAATCACTTAGAAAGACTGAAAATTAAGAAAACTGTATCCACTATGTTTCAAAGAACTACTAGTTTCAAGGATTCTGAAAAGAATTTTTAATGAAAACTTACAAAAAATAAACTACCAGTTAGTAAGTCACTAAGTGCCATCTTTTAAAGCATTTCAAAATTTTTGGTTTAAAAATTTTTTAATTGATTATTTTTATAAATACATATATACATATACAAAATACATAGAATTACTTATGACAATATGCACATACTCATAAATAAAATCATATAGGAATTTTGTTTTTTTAATCAACTTATTTTGAAAGTTTTCAGAAAGATTATTTTCATATATAGCCTTAGAAATTTGAATAGTGTATATTGTATTTCTTTAGTGGTAATGTCAAAGGTCTTTCCTAGCACCGACAGTCAGTGATTTTTCATCACTGTTCATAATATTATTAAATTTTATGTCTTCACGTGTGTAATACAGCAAAATATACATTGCTATACTTTTTACACATTTAAACCTCAGAAAATGAGTCTCAATTTTTAAAAGATTTACATATCGAATTTTTTTTGACCCAACTTCCGGTTAAGGGTACATGACTGTATTAAAAAATGTTCGCAATATAATTATTCGGATATCCGTAAATGAAATCTTTTGATATATGTTGTTTATACCATAAACTTTTTTTTCACCCCTTTTGATGTGCAGATGTACTCGATCGTTAAAGCTGAAGAGGGCAGTTGACAAAAATTCAATGGACAGCTTACTAACAAATGCCTCATGAGATATTTACCAGTACTGAGGTAAGGTTGTTGTCTATTTTCACTATTAGTTCAAGGTCATAACTTTGAAAAAATATCCACCAATCAAAACATAAACATGATAAAGTCTTAATTTCGTCTTGATATGAATTATGAATCAAACATTTTGAAGCGTTCCATGTGGTTGTTAGAAGCATATAAAAAAAATGTGTTGTACAAAATGTAGCGCGCGCAAAACCCACTTGATGTGTGCAGCATATGCTACATATTGCACTAGTGTGCTCTTTCTAAGTACTATGTTTTTTCAACCAATTTTGTGACTGAAAATCTGGATACCTCTGCAATACATATACCCAGACCCTTGCCATCAAAAAGCACTCCATTGATAATGCAAAATCCTGAATCCAATGTTCCCGGAGATGGCTGAAGCAATCTTAATGAAAGTTTACAGAAATTGCAATCTCAAACTGAAGTTATTCAGTCATTTATCCCTTGAATTCAGAAAGTCTTTCTTTGTATAGGAGCTTAGAGACTGTTTATGATGGTGTTCTGTTATGGAGAGTTACGTTTCTGTAGGTGGATTCTAATTGCTGCTTTTCTTTTATTGCAGCATAGTCAAATTTCTGTTCTTGTAAACAATGGAGGGGCAGTTGAACAAATACACCAATGTAGTGAAGGGCTGGCAGTACCGCTGGTTTGTCATGGACGCCGAGTCCGGCATGTTGGAGTATTTTGAGGTGAGTGATTCAAGATGGATCCAGAATTCAGGATGCTGGGACATTTTTAGTTGAGTAGTTAGAAATGTACGAATATTCTATATAATATATTTTCTCAAAAGTGCATTTCCTGCTAGAGGAATATTCATTTCAATTCAGATCAATTAGTTTATTGACCATGGAATTAAGGGCCCTCATGGGGCAATGAGAAAGTACATTTGTTAACACTAGGGAAAGCTTGTTTGTAAGAGTTCCAACTGAAACCCAAGGATACTGGATTTTAATTTGAACAGACTTTTGTGCCAAAAATTCACACTTGATGTATAGCTTTTACAGTGTTAGTGAAAGACATTTTATTTGACTGCTTTATTTTGTACCCCTATTGTACCGTACTTTTATAAAGAGAGGGTAAAATATAAATAATTTTGGATAGTATACTTTGTTCTTGAATGTGTCTGTAAAGATGTAGACATACTTTATCCATCTAGGATAATTTACACTTGTGTCAGTCAAAAATTTGCTGAAGAAATTTATCACAATGCACCACAGTACATTTTTTAAAGAAATGTGTTTGGTATGATTTCCCCTGGATCTGGATTTCACAGAATTATGACTCAGTGACAAAAAGTATGTCCACACAACAGAATTCCAGAAGACAAGGTGATAAAGAAATGGACAGTGGTCTGTCACAAAATGATTATGTATAGATATGTGAAATGTTTTTTTGTATAAACAACTTTTATAACCTTGACCTCTCTTGGAAAATCCTCCAAACACTAATTTGCAACAATGTCTCAATACAATTTTAGAAGGTTTATTTGATACATGTACTTGCAAGACAAAATTTATAAATACATGTATTTATATACAAGGAAAAATAAAAGAAAACAAGATACACATAAAGAGGAAATATTTTCAATCAGTAGGCTGCTTTATTCTGTGTGCTTGACATATTTAGCTTTAGATACACAAAAGTGCACTTTATAACGAAAATATTCATTAGAAAGGTAGATGTTGAACTTATAAACCCAGTTACATCTTTCCTTAGGCTGTATGCACATTTACTACTGAAACTATGATAGATTTTTAGCTCACCTGAGCCGAAGGCTCAAGTGAGCTTTTCTGATCATATTTTGTCCGTCGTTCCTCCGTCTGTCTGTCTGTCTGTCTGTAAACTTTTCACATTTTCGACTTCTTCTCAAGAACCACTGGGCCAATTTTGACCAAACTTGGTACAAAGCATCCTTGGGTGAAGGGAAATTTAAATTATTAAAATAAAGGGCCAAATCACCTCACAAGGGGAGAAAATCAAGAAAAGACAAAAATAGGGTGTAGTCATTAAAAAATCTTCTTCTCAAGAACCACTGGGCCAGAAAAGCTGAAACTTATGTGGAAGCATCCTGGGGTAATGTAGATTCTAAATTGTAAAAATCATGACCCCCGGGGAAAGGGCGGGGCCACAATGGGGAATCAAAGTTTTACATAGAAATATATAGGAAAAATCTTTGAAAATCTTCTTCTCAAGAACCACTGGGCCAGAAAAGCTGAAACTTATGTGGAAGCATCCTGGGGTTGTGTAGATTCTAAATTGTTCAAATCATGACCCCAGGGGGAAGGGCGGGGTCACAATTGGGAATCAAAGTTTTACATAGAAATATATAGGAAAAATCTTTGAAAATCTTCTTCTCAAGAACCACTGGGCCAGAAAAGCTGAAACTTATGTGCACATGGAAGGATCCTGGGGTAGTGTAGATTTCAAAATGTCTAAATTATGATCAGTGGGGTAGGGTGGGGATGCATTATGTATTACAAGGGGGAAATCTGGTAAAGAACAGAATGGTCAAAGCTTCTCGCGATGTGGCCCATGGGCCTCTTGTTTTATTTATTAATCCTTTGTTGACCACATGAATTGTCACATGAGTGGTCAACAGTGAATACTGCTGTCGAGTATTACAGTATGTAAGGATTGACAAATCTAAATCTGTATCAATTAAATTTTTTTCCTTTTTGTAGAAAGAGGAGCACAAGAAACAGAGACCCAGAGGATGCGTTCATCTGGCGGTAAGTTGTACACATATAGATAACAGTAAATTGTTTATCTGGCCGTAATGTCTCATTTTTATTTATCTCATGTTATTGCCTTTAATTGTTCATCTTCCGGTAATATCTTTGAATGTTTATCTCATGGTAATTTCTTAAAAATGTTTATCTGGTGATAAAGCCTTAAATTGTTTATCTTAACCTTTGTATGATGTTTATCTGGTGTATTATTGTCACTTTTTCATTATTACAGTATATTTTCATTTAGTTCATGTCACTGTAAGGTCTAGTGTAAAATGAACACATTCACATTTTGTGAAGGTTTATCAAAAACGATGTAGTTCAAAAGAACAATGCACACTTTATTTTAGCCATGTTGGAGTACTTAGCTTTTTCCTGAGTATTGTCATCCTGTATACATGTACTGATAATGTACTAATGATTTTAATAGGATTAGAGACTCTATTTTATTAGCTGAAACCAGAACTTGAGGGCATTTAAAGCATAATTTTTTTTTCATAGTTCTGTAAAACATAATCCATTCTTTATCTCAGATGCTGATGATGTTACACCATTATTGGACATGTAAATAATAAACTAATATTAAAATGCTTAATTCATATACATCATCTAGATTTAGCATGTGTAAAAAAAAAAAAATTAAAACACTTTTATATCATTGAGTACAATAAGTTAAAAAGAAAAGGTAACGCAACAGTGCTTTGATCAGTATGACTATATACAGGCCAGAATTTGTTGAATGGTGACTTTATAATTAAGGGGGCATGCTTTGTTCAACTGCTTGTGACACTTTTACACATTTACTGAGTGTATACTCGTGTGAGTTGATGGATAATGGAGACCCTGTTGTCTGTTTTAGGGGGCAGTGATTTCCCCATCAGATGAGGATTCACAGACATTCTCAGTCAGTGCTGCTAACGGAGAAATTTACAGACTCAAAGGTGGGTGTCTGATTGTCCTTTGTTTTGTTATAGCAGCATTAATGTAATTTCAGTGATTTTTATAAAATTTTTGAATATTTTTTTTTTATCCAACTAGCTGGCAGTACAAAAGAGAGACAACTGTGGATAGACAAACTTCGAACCACTGCTGAATACCATACAAATCACATGACAAGTGTAAGTTACGTTGCGGAATCCCATACAAATCAGTTGATACAGGAAAAATAAAATTAGCTTGTTTCTGTCAGTAGTATAGAGAATCTGCTGTGGTAAATAAGCACAAATGGAACAGATTTTAAATTGATGCAGGGTACATATTATATTTAAAGTTCAGCTCATAAAATGTTAAAAAAAAAGGTTAGGAGAAACAAATGACTTAAAAAGTCATTTAAGCATTTGTTCAATACAAAAAAATTAATATGTTTTGTTTGTGTGTAACAGGGCGGACAGCAAGTTCTGCGTCGCGAGTCTCGGTCTTCCTCACTCTTAAAGACCATCACTGAAACAGGATCCACCCGGAAGAGGCCGGACGTGATGTCACAGGACCTCCAACAGAGGTCACATAAAGCCCCCGCCCCCCGCCCTCACACACTGGACCCTTTCCGAGAGGTCAAGGAGTACATCTCAGAAGCCAACGACTATGCTGTTCATCTCAGGGAAAAAATTGATGTAAGATGCTTCTTATGGACTCTTAATTACAGCAGAGCAATTAATTTAAATAGATTATTTTTCTTTTTTCATGACCACTGGCCAATTTTAAAGTACCTGTTCTTAAGCACACAGAAAATACCAGCTGAGAGTTGTTTGTAGTGACAGCTTGTGTACTGTTTATTTCAGAGTCTTTCTGTGACAGAAGAACCTATAGGGGGTCTGGACAAAGTAAGAACATAGGTCACTGTGTAAACAAATCAAAGCACAGCCCTGCACAAATGTAGGAAATTTATTTCAGACTTTAGTGATAAAATTAATGTCGGCAGATATTTACTAGCTTTCGGACTGCAGTCAAACCATGATTCCCTCTCTCTATGTCTTTGTTTATGTGAAATTTGAAATACATGTGTATTTGTGAGATGTAAAAATGATTTAATTGTAGTTTATTAACCTTTAATACAAACTTTTTTCCAGGACCTGCTGTTATTAAAAGCCACTTCCACTGCGACCCTCAACAGCCTGGGACAGTGTCTTCAGATGCTTCAACATCAACAGGTAAAGCTGTCAATCAATCGCTAGCACCGCCTACTTCCTGTTTCATCTCACACCTGAGAATGTCTCCTTATCTCATTTGTCTTAGCCCTAGCTTAGCTAAGTACTCTGTTATTATTTCTTTTTCTATCTACCTGGGCCTATGGGCAATTGTTTTTTAGACTATTCCTACTCTCTCTGTTCTTCTTGATGTGTCTAATAAATCCCACCCCTGGCAGCTTGAAAAAGGAACAAACCTGGCTTTAAATTGATACATGTACCTATGTAAACCAACAAGGTCATACCAACACTTAACTTTACCCCCTACCAGCAGTAACAGTTACGATTTGTTGCTTTTGTTTGAATTTGATTTTTTTTTGTTCGAGTGACCAGGTTATTTTTTGATACATTTTAGGGCGGAGCCCCATATGATTGGCATGAGTCATTTACAAGGTTAGTGTGTCGTACTCGTGCTTTACTCTTTGTTCTTGTAGTCTACATTAAGCAGTAATACTTTTATGTTGATTTTATTTGTATTATATTTCGTAACCTTTTTATTTGGTTTTATTAAATCCCTGTTGATGTGTTTTTCACCTAATATGCAATCATCTTCTATTGCTATAGAACTCACATACCTGCTAGACGGATTTGCAGGCAGTTGGTATCAAATAAAAACGATATCTTTATTTTCATATAGGCTATTATAAAGTATCTTTGATTTGGCCAGTAAACATGAAATAACATCATCAATATTCATATAGCTCTTTTGCAATGCTTTTTAAAGCTGTCTTTAAAAAACATTTACATATATTTCATTTGCTTTCATCATGCAATTGGAATTTTAATATAATTATAAAAAGATAGGTTAAGTTTCTGATGTTAAGATAAATATACATTTCTTTGTTTAATTAAAAAGAAATTTGAATCATTCATTTATAAAGTGCAATGTATGTGATTCTTTTCTCCACACTTGCAACTCTCCGTCATCTAATATGAAGATAAAGTGTTAATTAACAGTGTACATAGGCACAAGCTATCGTCACTTATCAAAAGTACATTTACAGCCGCATGCTACATATGTCTTGCTGATCCATGTATATCTCAATAGGATGAAGGATATAACTGAATAATTGTTTTGCTGTAATTGGTCTAATCACCAATTGAAGAAAAAATGCTTTTTAATCAGACTTTTGAGTTAGCTCCAGTTTTATGCTGGAATGATTTGACTAACAGATTATTTTTTTCCCTATGACAGTCAAAGACACATCTCAATATCAAGTAGTATGGAGGAGAGGAATGGCAGTTTCTCTTCAGTCACTTCCGCCCCCGGACCAATCGTCTTCCCCGAGGAGAAACCTGAAGGTCAGAGCTAGGGAACGTCTCAAAATCTGAAAAAAAAAATGCCTGCATTGAAATTAAAAATTATTACAGATGTATTGAATTTTGTTGATTCTGGAGATAATATTTCTGAAAACAATATTTTATAGTCAAAGTAGTTTTAGTTTAAAGTAAGATGCAAGGTAGTACTTATTGCTGAATTGTTATTATTGGGTTTTTAGGTCACTTGAGTCACACAGGTGAGGTTTTGTTATTTGTTTTAGTCTGTCATTATATCCTGTCAATATAACTTTCCCTTATTAAACTTTAACTTTCATAATTAATGGGTCATTTAGGCAAAAACTAATCAGAAATTATGTATATTAAGTAAAAATTAAAAAGGTTCTAAACCATGGTCCCTTTAATGAGGATTTGGTCAAAAAATTACATGTTTAGTGAAAAAAATTAGAATTTATTCGCAGAAGAGGTAAAAATTTTACATAAAAAACATGCCAAAAGAATTTCATTGAAGGTCTCCAAGACTACAAATTGTTATACTTATGTGTATAAGGTGCAAGTATCTAATCAGTGGAGTTTTTTCATATCTTTGGTGTAAGATAAGATAAGATAAAGATAAGATAATATTTATTTAAAGTCGGGTACATCAACAAAGCACATTAGCTGGACTAAGTGGTGTTTGGACTAAGTTGGGATAGGTAAAGTTTTTAAGTTGTATACAATAAACCAGCATTCTAGAAAACACATATTGGCAAGGAATGTGGTGAAGAAAATTTGTTGTGTTTCTCAGGTGCCCATTGTAAAGTTCAGAGAGGCTCAAGTATTACTTGTCAGTGTAAAAGAAAATGACATTTGAGTTTCTTAATTTTCTTTCAGGACCCATTAATCATGAAGATGAGGAAGAAGATGAGAAAGGAAAGGTCTACACAGCTCAAACTGGGCATGGACTTAACTAAAGTAAGACTTAACTTAAGTAAACTTTACTGAAGTATGACTTAAACAACCTAAAACTTAAACAACGTAAAACTTAACTAAAGTAAGACATAACTAAAGTAAGACTTACCCAAAGCATGACTCAACTAAAGTATGATTTAACAAAGTGTGACACAGAACAATCATCCTACATCTACTGGGCATGGACTTAACTAAAATAAGACTTAACTAAAGTAAGACTTAATTAAATAAAGACTTAATTTTAACCAAAGAAAGACTTACCTAAAGTATGACTTAACTAAAGTAAGACTCCACTAATGTATGACACAAAACAGTCATCCTACATCTACTGTCACAACTCAAACTGGGCATGGACTTAACTAAAATAAGACTTAACTAAAGTAAGACTTAACTAAAATAAGAGTTAACCAAGAATTAACTTAAGTAAGGCAAATAGCAAACCTCCTACATCTGTTATCACAACTCAAACTGGGCATAGACTTGAGAATTGACTTAAGTAAGATTTAACAAAAGTATCATTAAAAGGATGACCTAACAAAGTTGCTCAAAACAGTCAGCCTACATTAGTTATTACTAAAGAAGGACTTAACTGTAGCTCAAAACAATAATTCCAGATCTGTCAACACAACTCAATCTGGACTTATTGTGTCAGTTCTGTTCTATCTGGAGTTATTGTGTCAGTTCTGTTTTAACTGGAGTTATTGTGCCAGTTCTGTTTTAACTGGATATGTTGTTATTCAGGTGGTGCTTCCAACCTTTATTCTGGAGAGGCGCTCTCTACTGGAAATGTTTGCGGACTGCATGGCTCACCCGGAAATGTTCTTAAAGTAAGTCGTATCTACATTTATCACTTTATTTTCTCGTTGTAATCAATGTACCTACATGTATATGACTTACACTGTTTTGATTTATTTCCTGTGACCTATATTTTACATTGTATCTCTGCAGAATACCTGATTTACCTATACTTTACATTGTATCTCTGTAGAATACCTGATTTACCTGACCCGGAGTCCAGAATGCTGGCCGTGATAGAGTGGTACCTGACCTCATTTCACGCTGCCAGACAGGTACAATGCTCGTATTATATTGGTAAAAATTTACAATGCTCATATCATATTGGTAAAAATTTGTATGTTATGTTTATGTTTTTTGATAAATTCAAATTTTTTATGTTGGGAACGAACTCTGTACAATATGTGTGTGCATACATGATATAATGTATTTTATATGAAATCTGTAATGAATGTACAGAGAATTTATGTTTAAAAAAGTCAATTCATTTTGTTATACCCAAGATTTGTTTTGAAAGTTATCAATTCTCTCATCTATCCTAGGGATCTGTTGCTAAGAAGCCCTATAACCCAATTATCGGGGAGACATTCCACTGTTCCTGGAAGATTCCTAGAAAATCACAGAACATATCAAACAACAGTCAGTTCGGGAGCTCAGTAGACGGGGTCACGCCATCCAACGGTGTGGACGGGTCACGACCCAACAGTACAGAGGGGGACACACAGCTGGTGTACTGTGCTGAACAAGTGTCCCATCATCCTCCAAGTAAGTCTGTTAGGTTTCTGTCACAATCTCAGAAAGTCAGAGAGATTTTTGTTTATCTCCAAGCAAGTCAGCTAGATTTCTGAATCTGAAGTCTGTTAGGTTTACATCAATCTGCCAGTAAAAGGTTTGATTTTTGTCACTCTCTCATTAAGTCAGATTTCTGAAAGTATTCCACTAATTGAGTGAGATTTCTGACAGGCTCCACGAAGTCAGATCTGGCAGCTGACCCCACCTCTTTATTTACAGTCACAGAAACATACTGTACATGTATACAATCTTGTTAGATATGAAGTATACATGTATTAAGTTTTTACACATACAAGTATATAAAGGAGAGTTGTTTATACATGTATTTCAGTTTCTGTTTTTAACTTTCTACAGTGTTTATAGGAGAGATTGTTTTTATTTCAGTCTCTGCCTTTTACTTTGAGTGTCCAGAGAAACAAGTGTGTATGAATGCTTCCATTTACACCAAGTCCAGATTTTACGGCATGTCTATTGGAGTTAATCTGATAGGGAAAGGTATCTGTATGCTGTCAGTGCTCAAAATTTTACCCAGAACCTGGAAATTTTCTATAAACCATCTTTTAACTTTCAACCACAAAATGTTTATTTTTGATTTAAAAACAAATGTTTATAAGATTTTTAAAACATCACTGCATCCTGTTACGTGTGACCGTGGACTGTTGATGTTACATTTATTACTTACTGGTGATGTGACTCTTCATTTTGACAGTAAGTCTAAGATTACTACAACACGGGGAGGAGTACATTTTTGGGATGCCCAGTGCCTATGCCCGGTCAATCCTAACCGTGCCCTGGGCAGAAATGGGAGACAAAATTTCTATCACGTGTGCCAAAACTGGATATTCAGCAGCTGTCACTTTTCACACCAAGGTAATATTTTAGTGAAATTCACTACTATTGTCATATTTGTTTTAAAATAAGCGATGTCATACTGAATAAATGCATTTTATTTAAATTTGGCTAAACTTTACATGATGGACTTTTGAATAAAAAGGAAACTGCTCTAAAAAATTAATTTTTTTTGGGCTTGATTGACAGAAGGACTTTCTATAATCTCAGAGATAATAACAATATAAAGTAAAATGCATATGACTTCATTTGCAGCCATTTTACGGAGGAAAACTACATCGAGTGTCTGCGGAAGTGAAGGACAACTCAGGGGAGATAATCTGTCGAGTCCAGGGAGAATGGAATAGTCAACTGGAGTTCACTTATAAAGATGTAGGACTTCATTGAAATTTAAAATTGTTTTAAATCTCTTTCTATTTTGAATCTGTAAAAATTACGCCAAAACATTACTTTTGCCTTATTTTTGCAATTGTCCTAGTGGTGAAGGATTTATCTAACATGTAAGCATTACAGTGCTTGCAAAAACTTGAAAATTTGATTATTCTGAAAATTATCTATTATACATCACATTATAAATGAATTATGTACGCCTAGCTCTTACACTATATTGTTTAACTTCTTTGATTGCAGGGCTCAAAGAAAACAATTGATGTTAAGGACATTCCTATAAGGAAGAAGCGAGTCCGGCCGGTGAAGTTACAAGGAGACTTTGAATCTCGTCGTCTCTGGCAACACGTAACTAACGCGCTCAAAGTGCACGACGTCAACACAGCATCAGAACACAAGAGAGTGGTAAGATTCAGTCATAACAAATAAACCATTGTGCATGTGTGTACAGTGTACATTTAATTTCTTCTCTTGAAGTTTCTGTAAACAATTTCTGTACAGATTATTCACAGAAGGTATAATGTAAATGTATAACAAAATATTTTAATAATTTTTTCAGCTGGAGGAGAGACAGAGAGAAGGAGAGAGACATCGAAAAGAAACGGGGACACCATTCCCCACCAAGGTATGATATCTGTACATTATTAGTCCCCCCTCCTTATACGGGTTTTCGCCACTAGGTAATCATTTCTGAAATTATCAATTCTGTTTATAATAGTTGCTGCTTATGCTTCCCAGCAAATTTATTTGGCATTACATTAATAGCCTATTCATATTAACAGTTAATTTTGAAAAAAAAATTCGTTCTTGATATTACACTGGGTTGTAATGAGGAATTAATTTTTTTGAGTTGCATATTTTGTACATCCAAATCAAAAGTATTTTTAGGTATAAAAGTCACAGTTAATATTATTGACTTTTTTCTCAGTTCTTCCACAAAGAAGATGATGGTTGGTTGTTTAACACCCTGCTACAGAAGGGCGATACAAGGGGAACAATATAGAGGGACAAGCTCTTCAGTATGAGGAGGAGGCCAAAATCTACCTGAGGGGGGTAGGAGACAGAGATCTGGGAGAAGACTTCAAGCCTGTGATATTTAAGTGCTATCAAACTTATTGTGATAAACCTTTTTTCAGGAAGCATTATTCACGTTCATCATTTAGCAATATACACATTGTGATGTGTTCCGAATAAGTTTTTAATCTGAATTTTTTGAATATTTATGTACTTACTTGTACCATGTACATGTATGCTTTATAAATTTAAGAAAATAAAAGAAAAATAGTATTATCTTTTAAATATTGCAGAAAGCTTACAAGGTCTTTAATATTAAGTTGGGAGGGGAATATGGAGGGGACAACAGAAAGAAGACAAGACTTGGGAATAATTATGTAACAACATATATCTCATGATCTGGAGTTGAAGGATGGGGTTCTAATGAACATATAGTGACAGTACATAAATACTATAAAATCTTCTGCTCCCTGTGTAGAAAGTATATTATAAACTATATGTAATGGATATATGCCAAATACTGTTCTATATGTAAAATTATCAGACTGTTTGAGGCCCGTTAGAGCCAAAAACTGTTGATAATTTTACACATCACCCGAATACTATGAGGCATATATCTATTCAGCAGAAAACAGTACCATTTAAATGTCCAAAAGTTACCTGGAGGAGTTCATAATAACACAATGGGAGTTGGGCATCAATTGTTAAGGATATGAACTTCAGCCAGGAAGGATAACTCGAAAATTAATATTATATTTGAAATGATCAAAATGAAGCTCTGAAAATGTTTTCAGAACAATTTTCATTTTATTTGATTTTCCAAACCAATTTTTAAAAGGCTTGGAAAAGGTTTTATGAAAGAAATACATTTAACATAAACAATCTTAAACAATTTATTGGATTCATTTAATTATCACAGCCTTTTGTTAATACATTTACATGTAAATCAGTTGAGCAAAAATACAGTACAACATGGCAGTCGATGGAACATATCACAGAATAAATATATGTAACGGTTAATGTATACATAAAGATCTATGTTTTATAAACACATCTGCTATAATAAATGAATCAATTAAATTATGCCTTTCAATTTTAAATAAAAATTCACTGATCTACATTTTGCAGTTCTGAGTACTGTTGTATTTATCAGTACCCTCTATCCTTAGTTTATCTGACTAGATAATTCAAATGCTACCTCTTTCTACATCCATTTCCCAGTAAGAGATAATGAAAAAAATACTTGAGGGAAATTTCATCTTCCTCCAGTCATTGTGTTTTTACATTTCGACTTTGAGATTTGAATTAGCATCTCTAATCTTTGCTAGAGATCTGATACTTGTGCAGCCATATAAGTGAAGCAGTTTTAATCTGAAACGAAAAAAAAGATCATTGAATATGCCTGAACTCATAAATTACCCAGTAGTCAGATTTTTAAAAGTACAAAATACATGTATAAACAAATTTTCTTTGCAGATAGATAAATGTACATGTGTATTTCAAAGCTTTTATACCAAAAAAAAAACAGAAGTCTCTGTCGCGACTGAAGCTCTACTGGTTTGTTCTTATAGCAAAGGAAAAGAAAAGTTCTTAAGCAGTTGGGAATTGAAACTTTACCACAGCAATAAAAAGAATAATGAGCCTTGATTAAGTCTCTTTATGTTCTTAGTGTAGTCTACTTGCATGCCACATTAGATTATATTTGGAGTAGCATTTTGAGAGTTTTTAACAGAAATTTTTGTTTTTAGTTACCACGGAAACACGGTTCATCGAAATCAAAAACCGATACATAGAATTGTGTATCTTAGTGTAGTCTACTTGTATGCCAAGTTATATTGAAATCAGACCAAAACTGTAGGAGGAGTAGCATTTTGAAAGAATTTCACAGAAATTTCTATTTTTATTAACAACGGCAACACCTTTCATCGAAATAAAAAATCGATATACAGAATTATGTGTCTAAGTGTAGTCTACTTGTGTATCAAGTTATATTGAAATCAGACCAAAACTGTAGGAGGAGTAACATTTTGAATGATTTTCACAAACATTTCTATTTTAATAACAACGGCAACACTGTTCATCAAAATCAAATATTGATACACATAATTTTGTATCTTAGTGTAGTCTACTTGTGTGCCATGTTATATTGAAATCAAACCAAAACTGTAGGAGGAGTAGCATTTTGAAAGAATTTCACAGAAATTTCTATTTTTAGTAACAACAGCAACACTGTTCATCGAAATCAAAAACCGATACACAGAATTATGTATCTTAGTGTAGTCTACTTGTGTGCCAAGATATATTGAAATCAGACCAAAACTGTAGGAGGAGTAGCATTTTGAAAAATTGTTTACAGACAGACAGACAGACAGACAGACAGACGGACAGACAGACAGACGGACAGACAGACGGACGGACGAAATTTTACTATCGCATAAGCTCTTCTGGTCTCTGACCAGTAGAGCTAAAAAAAACATTAAAAGACATCATGCATTAAAAATTCATGAAGAGCTCTTGTTTACTTGAGAGAAAAAAATTAATAAAAATATTCCACACGTCCAGCATTGTTCATTGTTCTGTAAAATTCTACATGCCTTTTGCATTATTTCAGTTTAATGATCTGTAAAGATTTACGAACCTTTTGCAGTGTTTTATCAGTTTAATAACTGAATGCTCCGTGACATCAGACAGAAAGTTTAACTTGACCGACTCCAACCTTGGGCTGCAAAAATTGGCCATCATCTGAACACTGAAAATAAAAAAGACACTTCCATTTCTTGTCCAGTAATAGTATAGGCTACTAGTTTTCACTTAAAGAAATATACCATAACAGTGATAATGCATACAGTGTAATGGGATGTGAAAACCGACCTCATGTGCCCCTCATACTTTAAAGAGATGTAGGTCGGTAATAAACAAATTTGAATTTAGTTCTGACATCTAACCTTCTGTGAGTACAGCCTGTAGAGCTGATACTAGTTGGGGTGGGTGGGTGGTTATAAAGTGTACAATGATTTAATTTGAGTTCTGACGTCTAACCTTCTGTGAGTACAGCCTGTAGAGCTGATATCAATACTCCGTAGGTTAGTACAGTTATTAGCGAGGGCTCGCACTCCTCCATCAGTCACATGTCGACAGCCACACACATCTATATTCCTATAAAGAAAATTTTATACTGTACAATTTATTGTCAAGTTGGAAACAAACAAATTCTTTGAAATTTTTATTTACAGATGAAGAAAATTTAAAGATATGCACATATATTTAAAGTTTAAAACATTGTATCATAAATTCTGAACAGAAAACAGTGCAACCTATATGTTCCTTGTGCTCTATCTTTTTACTGTCCACCTTTACTTAGAATAAATACCATCTTTCCTACTATTAATCATCTACTGAAGAATGTTCACAGTAAATATGTTATTTCTCTAGCAGTGAGATATCTGTGATTGATTTTAAAAGCAATGAAATGTCTGATAAATATCTGATGTCCAATGTAGATATTGACTGACCTGATATCCTATAGATATGTGTCTATCTCTAGCAGTGAGATATCTGTAGATATTTAACTGACCTGATATCTTTTAGATATCTGGCTACCTCCAGCAGTGAGATTTCTGTAGATATTCACTGACCTGATATCCTTTAGGTATGTGGCAATCTCCATTATTGAGATATCTTTAGATATTCACTGACCTGATATCCTATAGATACGTGGCTATCTCCAGCAGTGAGATATCTGTAGATATTAACTGACCTGATATCCTTTAGATATGTGGCTATCTCCAGCAGTGAGATATCTGTAGATATTAACTGACCTGATATCCTTTAGATATGTGGCTACCTCCAGCAGTGAGATATCTGTAGATATTAATTAACCTACCTGATATCCTTTAGATATCTGGCTATCTCCAGCAGTGAGATTTCTGTAGATATTTACTGACCTGATATCCTTTAGATATGTGGCTATCTCCAGCAGTGAGATACCTGTAAATATTAACTGACCTGATATCCTTTAGATATCTGGCTATCTCCAGCAGTGAGATATCTGTAGATATTATCTGACCTGATATCCTTTAGATATGTGGCTATCTCCAGTATTAAGATATCTGTAGATATTTACTGACCTGATATCCTTTAGATATGTGGCTATCTCCAGTATTGAGATACCGTAAATCTGGAAATTTTTGGTGTAGATAAATTTTTAGCAAATTTGTGAGTTCATTGCATTTGCAAAAATATTTTTCTTAAAAATAAATCACCAATAAGAAAATGTAAACAAAGCAGTGGTCATTCGCAAAAATTTGAATCTAAAATTAATCAGCAGCATTTTGACCCGAATTCGCAAAATAAAAACAACGTAAAAATTTCCAGATTTACGGTATCTGTAGATATTAATTAACCTACCTGATATCCTTTAGATATCTGGCTATCTCCAGCAGTGAAATATCTGTAGATATTAACTCACCTGATATCCTTTAGATATATGGCTATCTCCAGCAGTGAGATATCTAGATATTTTACGGACCTGATATCCTTTAGATAAGTGGCCATCTCCAGTATTGAGATATCTGTAGATATTTTACTGACCTGATATCCTTTAGATATGTGGCTATCTCCAGCAGTGAGATGTCTGTGATATTTGGACAGTTGGCTAGGATTATAGTTTGAAGGCGACTGCAGTACTTCACTATATATCTTATGCAGTTGTCTTTTATCTGAAAGAAACACCACCACATTATGTCAAATATGCTTTTTGTATGTTTAATGGTATTTATATTTCTTAAAAGTTAGTAATAAAATCTGGGTTTTTTTTCCTGAATAATTTTACAAAGTTTAACATAAATATTGTTAATCATTATTTGGAACACAAATCTCTAGCAAAATATTACCTGTTTACAGCCCCGTAAATCCAGGGTCTCTACTTTACTGAGACTGGTAGAAAGATGTGAAATGGCTGAATCTGTCAACTACAAACATAGAAAAACTTAAAATTATACCAAAAAAATTTCCATAATAATCCTCATTACACTGATCTTAGACAGTCATTTTCCCACCTTGTAACACTGTCCCAGATTCAGAGTCTTTAAGTTGATACAGTTGGCTGCCAGATAATCGATTCCTTTTGCTTTAATGTTGAAACATCCAAACATCTCAAGGACTCGGAGCCTGCAATTAAAGTAACGGTCACTGATTAAGAAGTGAAGGTTTAATGCAGGTTATACATACAGTGGTATAACAACTGTAAGGAATTCTCACCATTTTCCTTGTATTTTGATGACTGTTATCAGACAATGTTTTTATTAGTCACTATGATGATAAAGGACACTCACCATTTTCCGTGTTTCTTGATGACTGTTATCAGTCCATCGTTTGTGATCATCTGACATCCACTGATACAAAGACTCTCCAACCTGAAAATCAATTCAAAACAGTAATGATAGATCTGGATTTTTAAAGGACAGTGAGTTTCAAACTTGTTCCGATATTCACAGTTTTAATAATTTTCACATAAAACAAGTTTGGTTTTCACCTGTTGGATGAGTTGGCGAGGGCCCCTATACCGCTGTCTGAGGCGTTACACCAACTGGCATCAATGTGGGTCAGTCCCTTACAGTGGGAGGCGGCATGGAGGAGGATACAGTCCCCCGTCAGGGCCCCCCGGCTACAGCCAAAACAGTTCAGCTCCTAGAAATATAACAACATTATATACACATCAGCTGCAGCCAAAGAAATTTAGCTCCAACAAAGATAAACATCAATATTATACATGTATACAGTGCTATACACACACATGTAGATATACCTTGACTTCAGAGAAAGAAACTCAACTTAACCTGGAACCTCACAATAATACATGTACCACAAATGACAAGTTTATTACTGTAGAATCATCATTGTTCATGGGGGACCAATGCTCGTGGATTTCTTGGGTCACCCTTACCCACGAATTTACATCCCCACAAATGTTTATTTTTTAAACACTTTGATTCATTGTATTTACAAATTACCCATGAAATTACGTCCCCACGAACAGGTCTAAGTTTGCTTACTAACATTGACCCCCAGAAATTAAAATGATTCCACAGTATATACAGTTGGCATAGGCCCTAAAGAAGTTTGAGTTTGTATAAAGAGTATGTATATATAAATACTAACCTTGAGAGAGCTGGCACAGGCCCTGAAGAGGTTACGGAGACCTTTAGCCGTGATGTAGTCACCGTGACACTGAATCAAAGCGAGGCTGACAGGACGATGTCTACCGATTTGTTCCAAAGACTCATCAGTTAAGTTATGATTCTTTTTAATGGTGATATAGCGCCCTGTAAAATCAGTAAAATTTACCTACTACTCATATACCTGAATCATTGAAGATGGCTTTTACTGTATTTATAAAAATTAATTATATCTACCAGTGCTTAAAAATTTTTAAAATGAAATTATGTTAATAAAATTTTCCAACAGTTAAATGACTAATCAGGATTTGATTTCATGGTTAGTAGACAAACATAATTTTGTAGTTAGAAATTTTCATGATTTGTACAAATTTGTGGGTTCCTCAGAGCACAAAAACAGAAAAAAATTTAATTCCCCCCAAATTATGAGTAATTTCATCACAGTACTGCAATCTATTTCTTGTTAAAGAAGTTCATCTCATTATAATAGAGTCTTGCAGATTGTGGGTTATGGGTCCTACACTAGAGCTGTCCGTACTTACAAAGTGTGTTGTCCATGCAGACTCGGTAGAAATGTCGACATGTGCGAGCACACTTGATCAGATCAGAGTGAGGGAGGTAGGAGAGAACATTCAACAGCAGCTCGTCAGGGAGGCACAACCAAACCGAAAACTGACCGTCCCGGATACGTGGGGTCTGAAAATTGATGACCAGTGGAATGTCTTGCCAATATTGTTTTCAATAAAAGTATATGTATATAAGCATTTTAAAAAAAAATCATTTCTTTGAGCTTGTGTTTTATCTTAAAACGTAAGTTCTTAAATTAATGATTAGTACCAGTTAAATGTTAACTTAAATAAACACCTGTTTGTATGTGTAGTAAGAGTTTGTGTAGTTGGAGAACACTCACCATTTCTTTATACTTATGAAGGGCATTCAACACACTGGCAGGATCAGCTGAAGAAAGGACAAAAAAAAAATTTTAGTGAAAAAATTCCTCAACACATCAAATTGGAATCAGACAGTGAAGTTTTCAGAGTTCAAGTTGTCCACCTTTATCAACAATGTACATGTAAATCAAATCACATGTATATATATGTCATCCCTTTCTAAAAATTGCATAATTATGATCTTTTATTCATTATACCCCCCGCTTGAAAAGTGGGGGTATATAGTAACAATATACGTCGTCCGTCCGTTTAATCCGTCCGCGTATAATAGTATTCCTTAAGATTATATATCCGCAATAACCACAATTTGATGAAAATTTTGAATCTTTAATCAATTGTCAATGACTATTTTCTTTTTCACGACAGATATTTTGGGTTTCCCAGCCACAGGAAAAGATGATCTACAGTATTTCACCAGTTATAAACATTGCATAATTATGATCTCTTATTATTCATTTATTTCTAACACAGAAACAGGGCTGTTGAGAAGATATGAGGACACACCTGCTGGGGTTACAGTCTCGGGTTCTGTCAGCCGGTGATCCACGAGTCCGGGGAGGTCTGAGGAGGGACTGTCCTGAGTGACCTTGGGGTAGGTGACATCCAGAACTCGGATCCCCGGGGGTTTCTGTCCCTCCTCTGACGACGCACTCTGTGTCCTCTCCTCCTGTACCTGTTCTGTTGATGAAGGACTGTCCTCCTCTACAGGTGGTGGCTCATCAGGTGATTCCACAGGTAAGTCCACAGGTAAGTCTACAGGTAAGTCCACAGGTAAATCCACAGGTAAGTCTACAGGTGAATCCAGACTGGAAATGTCCCGGGAATCTTGTTTGGTACTCCTATACAAAGTGAGATTAACTTTTTTAATTGTACATGTATATACATGTAGATTAAAGATTACTATAGGGTCTCCACTATTCATGATTTTTTTTACAATTATTTTTAATACTTTGTGCAATGTGAAAAACTTTTACTACATTAAAAAAGGTTAGCAAAACAGTACATCCTGATTTGTGGTCTGTGTAACATTTTCTATGGTAGCATTAGTCTTCCTTAAATTGTGTACTTTTTTAAACAAATCCTTTTTAACTTACCTGACTTTGGGGTCTGCGCTGAGTGGCCTGGACTTCAGGGCTGGTCTCTTCTGTGGTGCCCCACTCCTTGGCCTGCCTGCCAGGTTCTCAGTACTACCCGGGGTTTGACCCCTGACCCCTCTCCTGGCTGCCCCTGCACTCCCAGGCCTCTGAGGGGGAAGGCTGGACTTTGTACTCAGTTCCCTGGGGTGGTAAGATGACCAGGCAATACTAGATCTCTGCCACTTCCTTTCGTATCCAGGGGCTTCTATAGACTCCCTGACAATGCTCTTCACCATCTTCCCCCTACTCTCTGGTCTGGTGTTTTTAGACTTGGACTTTGTGGGTGATGAGGATCTCATGTCCCCTATCACCTGCTCCAGGAATGGTCTGGTCTCCTCGGGTTCCTTTGGTATTTCCACTTTGATCTCCACTTCCTTCGGTTTTGGTAGGAAGAAATCCTGCCACTCTTCGCTGTCTGTAGAAATGTCCAGAGCGGCCCTTGGTTTGTCCTCGTCACTGGTCAGACACAGATCTAGACTTGGGACGATTTTTTCCTGACTCCGACTAGTGTCTCTTTGTTGCCGGCTCTCCTGTACACTGAACACTTCTACATCTATAGGGGCAGACCTTTTATGTTTGAGAGGTTTCTCTTTTGGTTTTTCTCTCTCATGGAACCAGACCTCTTCATCGTGCACATATTTTGACAGATCTTCACCATTCAAATCAAAGTCATGACTGGAATGATGATTATTAGGTACAGTGTCTCCATCCAATACCTGTACATCATTGTCTGCCTCACCCTCACTGGGAGACAGTTTTTCCTCCTTATGATCATTCCTCCTGAAGAGATTCTCCACTTGGTCTGATATGTCAGGGTTCTGTAAAAGCTCTGTATGTTTTTTCCTGAAGTAATTATTTATAAATCCCTTCATCACTGGGTCAGTCACATGTTCAAAGATCTCCTCTATTTCTCTCCCTGCCTGTGTGTTCTCTGGCTCCTCACTGGAGGGTAGTCCACTGTCCTGGCTCTCTTTCTTCACCACCCCATGTTGGTCATTCCGACTTGATTTATTACTAGAGCTATCACTAGGTACCATGGGGACTCTCTTTTTCGCTGACTTTCTCTCTTTTTTAACCACCCTGGAGGGTTTGGACTTTTTTATGACCGTGACCTCCACCCCTGCCAGAGATTCCCCGCAGTCCCCGCACCAGCTCATGTAGGCCTTGTTCACTTCCCCACAATCCTCACACACTAACACCGTCTTCCCCTCTACTTGGGACTCCTCGGGCCTTTTCTGTGTTTCTCTCAGAAATGACAGATCTAGTCCAAGCTTATTCATTCTCTCCGTGATTCCCTCAGCTTTGACACTGGTGGCTCTGCTGACCTGGGTGTTGACCTCTGAGTTGACCTCTGTGTTGACCTCTGACTCTTGTTGCCGTGGAGAGTTCTCCGGAATTTCCTCTAGCTCCACTTCCTCTCGGCTTTCTTCATGTCTGTCTCTGTAGTACAGCTTCTCCAGAGAGGAAAAGTATCGGTCAATAGAAGACTTGGCAAACTTTCTCTGCTTCTCTAACAAGGCATCTTCTTCTGCCTCCTGTTGTCGCCTAAAAATGGAATGCAACAAAATATTAAGTTAAACATACATTGAAGATGTGGTAATTTACAAGGGGAATTTGTGCTTAACATGCGAAAAGAAATCATTCAGGAAATATACTCCTGCAGACTTGTGCTTTTCTGTATGTTTGATTTGTTGGGTTTTTTTTGTATGTACATTTACATAATAAATAAGATATCCCAAACACAATCTGATTTTGAAATTGAAAAAGGAAATAGTTGCTATCATTTTTTAAAATTTTATAACAAATAAAAGTTAACCTTTGTTCATGGAACTGTCTGATCTCCTCTACGTGTCTCTGCGAGGAACTCTGCTGTTTCTGGGTGATGGATTTTCCCTCGTGTTGATGCGTACTGGATTTTCCCTCATGTTTCTGACTCACAGATTTCCCCTCCTGTCTCTGACCCATGGACTTCCCCTCCTGTTTCTTATTACCGTCATTTTTCTGCGAGCTCTTCTTCTTCCCTGGCAGCCCCTCACTTTTTCTGACCTCCTCCTGAGTTACAATCTTCCTCGGTGAGGATTTCCTGTGGATGGTCTTTTCTGAGGAGTCTTTTCTCTGAAGAGGAGGATGTGGGATCATCATGTCCAGGACCTCTTCATCTAAAAATAGAACACAGACAGAAGGGTAAGAGAAAGAGTTTACTTTCTTTATCAACAATATACATGTAGTAATTAAAACAGCATTTTAATTTTACATTTGCATCATTAAAATAATGCTGTAAAAAATAATACAAAGCTTTATATAATGTGTAGTAAAAATTATATTAGCTGTTTTACATTTCATTGAGTGTTCTTAACACATGAAATGTATTCACCTCCATTTTCTTTTTCCTGAGATTCTTTGTTCTCGTGGTCTGTGTTGGGCTGTTTCTTCTCTACTCCAGGTACAGGTACTGGGTATGGCACAGGGAATCCCCGAGATGCCAGAAAACTGAAGTATGACGCCAAATCCACATTCACTGGAGGTGGAGGATAAGGTATTCCACCATGACCTTGAGGTGGATAAGGTGGAAAAGCCCCCTCTCCTTCAGGTCCTGGTACGGCTGGAGATTGTGTGGGGTATGCTGGGGGACCATGATGCATCATTTCATGCCTCCTTTGATAGTGCTTACCTGCATCACCTGAGCTGTGGACAAAAGGTACGCTGGGGGGTCTGGGGACCTGGAACGGCATGTACCGACCATCAGGTGAGGGCGGAACCTGAGGGACATAGCGACTGTCTGGTGGAGCAGGGGGTACTGGGTAATAATTGTCAGGCATATGGGAGACCGGATAAGGGAAGTGATTGCCCTCCAGAGGGTGAGACATGTGAGGGGCCATGTATCTGTTGTCTTGGGTCCTGGGGACATTGTGTGGCACGAAACTGTCATAGAACTGCTGTGGAGGTACTTCTGGGGGCCAAGGTTTATACATGGATGGATCAGCAACATCAGGTTTGTCTGCTGAAGCAGGCCTTGGGGTTACCCCTGAATACATCTGTCTGTAGAATTCTGACTGTTGACTCCTGGCTGTGTACATTATTTCCTCTGGAGGAGGGTAGGGTGTCCTGTAATGATGTGGGGGAACCTGTGAGGGAGGGAATGGGGGAGGCTGATCAGTCTGGGAGGGAGAGATCATTGGTACAGGGTAGCCATGTCCTCCACTTCTTGGAGCTGTAAAACGATTATGAATTTCTGACAAATATCATGCAAGAATGAAATTCCAAATAAAGGTGATATATAATTGAGATTTCAAATTGACAAATTACAATGAATGCATTCTGTAATTACCTGATGTTGTCTGTCCATGTGTGTAATCTCTGGAGAGGTGGGCAGGGTTACCATGGTAACTTCTGTTGACTGGGGGACTTTGTCCTAGGTAGGCCTGGTGATAAATTTCATCAGAGGAGAAGACGACATTTCTGTGGATTGATTCATATCCATTACGATAGGATGGGGGTAAACTGAGGTTTTCTGCTTCATCCTCATTTTCCTGGCTGTAAATATTAGAGGGTTCAAATCGAGGTCGGTTCAGTTTGGGTTTCTCCATTTCAATACTTAGTTTCAGTCCTGCTTCACTCTTTAGATTTCTTGGCTTCTCTGGAACCTTTGGCTCTTCTGGTTTCTGTACTTTCTCCTCCCGAGATGAGCTCCTATCACTGCTCAAATTACCAATGTCTTGTGTGGATTTTTTCAGGAATTCGTTGTATTTCTCCTCCCCTAATACCTGTCTCATCTCTCCTGGGATAAAGTTCTCTATTGACTTGGATGGCTTTTCCTCTGGCCTGTGGGTAGAGAGACCTAAGTCGTCCACATTTCCAAGAGATTTCTGGAACAACTTACGATGCTCAGTTTCCTCTGTAGACTCCTTCACCTCAGGGCCCTTTCCAGATTTCTTAAGCTTTGAAGATTTACTGAAAAAGTCTTCATATTCCACTGCAATGGGAGAAAGATTTTCTTTCTTTGATGAAACATAATCAATTTTTGGAGATACCTGTGAACTTGACGCTGATTTTTTCTGGAGAGTGGTTTCTCCGTGGTGGAGATATCGTGGGGAGTGCTCTGAGTACCTGGCCTTCGCAGAATTCTGGCCGGAGTGTTTCTGATTCTCACTCTCTGCGATCTCCTGTTTGGCCAGATTTATCAGTCGTTCTACTGCACTGTTATATCCCTCCTCATCCCCACACTGGGCCTTAACTCTCAGTTCCTCTCTTAACAAGGAAAAACTATCTCTCTTTGCCTTCTCTCCCTCTTCTCTGTCTGTGGATTCCCTGACTTCTGCTCTTGTTGTGATCACCTCAGTTGGTGATGCCTCATTTGAAATCTTCCTTGTTAACCATCTCTCCGGAATAGAACTTGCTTCTTTCTTGTCTGTGACACTTAAATGATTTTGATATGCAGGATTCGAAATTGGATTCTTTGTAGTTTTCTGTTCAAAATTATCCTCAGCAAGTTGCTGACTCTGTGTGAGCCCTCCCTCCGAGTCGTGCTGGATGAGCTTTCCCTCCAAATTGCTAGACTTTTCTTTAACATTTAAGGTGTGTAGGCCCGTTTCCTTTTCAAAAGCTGTACTTGCTGCGTGGCTGGAGTTGTTCAGTTCAAAGTAGGCCAGCCTTCTCTTTCTGATCTCCTCAGGAGAAGGGTTATCCTCCATCCTTATCACTGTCAAAAATGGAAGGAGATAACTGATCGATCATTGGCAGATGGAACAATTCAAATTACTCTTAAGATCATAAATTTGACAGTTTGAATGCATTATGATTAATAAACTTGTATTTCTCTTTCGATCATATTCGACTAATAGTCTTTTTCTTATCGATTTTAATGTAACCAGTATTGAATCAAGATTTTTTTGCAAACACTACTCCGTATGCAGAGGTAATTCGGAATGGAATGTTTGTATTAATAACTTTAATAAAATCGTTAAAAATTTTCAGCATTAAATTAACTTTTTCCAAGTTAAGCCAAAACATATTACAGTGTGTGTAGTAGGATTAAACTTACTCGTGATGTGTCACCGTGTAATCATCTTGACAGATCCCCAGCCTTGTCAAGTTGGATGTTTCATCGTAAACTGGTTCCCACACCGTAAGCTACGGGCACCAGGAGAGGTATAATATGAATACTTTTTTGGATCTCGTAACCAGCCTCTATAACCAGGCAGAGCGCATGCGCGCAACAAATTTACATCGAGATCGGAAAACAGGAGAGGAAATTCGGAATATATAATGAAAACTAGTAGTGCTATTCTTTGATGCAGAAATTTATGCATAATTCAATAAAATATTATTTAAAATGTAGAAGAATGAATAAATCAACTTTACAATTAGTATTTATTTATTTATTTATTTAATCTTTTATTCATTCTTTTATTTATTTTATTTGTTTATTTTTTTTTTAATTCTAATAATTAATTAACTAGGTACATTAATTATTTATTCATTAGGAAATTTATTTTTCTGTTTATTTATTTATACATTCTTTTCTTCATTAATTAATTATTCTAATGAGTAATCAATTCTTCTATTTATTAATTGATCATTCTATTATTTAATTAATAAATTTATTGATTAATTTATAATTTATGTGTTAATTCATTTATATTTTAATTTGTTTGTTTATTTGTTAACTTACTTTATATTTTGCTTGATTGTTTATTTATTTATTGGTTTCTTTCTTTATTAGTTTATTTATTTATTATTTATTTTATTATTTCTAATAATTAAGTAAATTAATGATTGATTTACGAATAAATAAATAATTTATTTATCATATGCATTCCTTTTTATTATTTTTTTTATTTAATTAATTAATTGATTAAATTATTTATTTATTTATTCATTCATTCATTCATTCATTCATTCATACTTTTTCTGTTATAAACAGGTTCTGTTTATGTATTGCCAGGGTTTGTGTTCCCATCACCAGGGTCTGTAATTTGTATCACCAGGGTCTGTATGCCCATCATCAGGGTCTATATTATCTATCACAAGGGTCTGTAGGGTCTATATACCCATCACCAGGGTCTATATACCCATCACCAGGGTCTGTATACCCATCACCAGGGTCTGTATTATCTATCACTAGGGTCTGTATACCCATCACCAGGGTTTGTGTGCCCATCACCAGGGTCTGTATTATCTATCACCAGGGTCTGTATACCCATCACCAGGGTTTATAGACCCACGACTAGGGTCTATACACCCATCACCAGGGTCTGTATTATCTATCACCAGGGTCTTTATACCCACCACCAGGGTCTATATACCCATCACCAGGATCTGTATACCCATCACCAGGGTCTGTATTATCTAACACCAGGGTCTGTATACCCATCAGCAAGGTTTATATACACATCACCAGGGTCTGTATATCTATCACCAGGGTCTTTATACCCATCACCAGGGTCTGTATACCCATCACCAGGGTCTGTATTATCTATCACCAGAGTCTGTATACCCATCACCAGGGTTTGTGTGCCCATCACCAGGGTCTGTATTATCTATCACCAGGGTTTGTATACCCATCACCAGGGTTTATAGACCCATCACTAGGGTCTATACACCCATCACCAGGGTCTGTATTATCTATCACCAGAGTCTTTATACCCATCACCAGGGTCTATATGATCATCACCAGGGTCTGTATACCCATCACCAGGGTCTATATGATCATCACCAGGGTCTGTATACCCATCACCAGGGTCTATAGACCCATCATCAGGGTTTGTATTATCTATCACTAGGGTCTTTATACCCATCACCAGGGTCTAAAAACCCATCACCAGGGTCTGTATTATCTATCTCAAAGGTCTGTATACCCATCACCAGGGTCTATATAATCATCACCAGGGTCTGTATAGCCATCACCAGGGTCTGTATACCCATCACCAGGGTCTGTATACCCATCACCAGGGTCTGTATTATTTATCACCAGGGTCTGTATACCCATCACCAGGGTCTGTATACCCATCATCAGGGCCTGTATTATTTATCCCCAGGGTCTGTATACCCATCACCAGGGTCTATATAATCATCACCAGGGTCTGTATTATCTATCACCAGGGTCTGTGTACCCGTCACCAGGGTTTATATATCCATCACCAGGGTCTATATAATCATCACCAGGGTCTGTATTATGTATCACCAGGGTCTGTATACCCATCACCAGGGTTTGTATGCCCATCACCAGGGTCTGTATTATCTATCACCAGGGTCTGTATACCCATCACCAGGGTCTGTATTATCTATCACCAGGGTCTGTCTACCCATCACCAGGGTCTGAATACCCATCACCAGGGTCTATATACACATCACAAGGGTCTATATTATCTATCACCAGGGTCTGTATACCCATCACCAGGGTCTATATACCCATCACCAGGGTCTGTATTATCTATCAGCAGAGTCCGATACCCATCACCAGGGTTTGTATACCCATCACCAGGGTCTATATACCCATCACCAGGGTCTGTTTACCCGTCACCAGGGTCTGTATTAGCTATCACCAGGGTCTGTATACCCACAACCAGGGTCTGTATTATATATCACCAGTGTCTTTATACCCATCACCAGGGTCTGTATTATCTATCACCAGGGTCTTTATACCCATCACCAGGGTCTGTATTATCTATTACCAGGGTCAGTATACCCATCACCAGGGTCAATATTTCCATCACCATGGTCTGTATTATCTATCACCAGGGTCTGTATACCCATAACCAGGGTCTTTATTATCTATCACCAGGGTCTGTATTATTTATCACCAGGGTCTATATACCCATCACCTGGGTCTGTATACCCATCACCAGGGTCTGTATTATCTATCACCAGGGTCTGTATACCCATCACCAGGGTCTGTATCACGAAATTTATGTGTATCACTAAGCGTTTGTGTGTATCACCAAGGGTTTGTGTATCACCAAGGGTCTGTTTATCTCCAAGGGTTCTTGTATCACCAAGGGTCTCTATCACCAAGGGTATATGTATCATAACAAATTATGTGTTTCACCTTGGGTTTGTTTATCACCGATGATGTTTGTATCCCCAATGGTATGAATATCAGCTAGGGTCTGTGTATCACCTAGAGTCTATGTATCACCAATGGTCCTCGTATCACCAAGGGTCTATGTATCACCTAAGGTCTGTGTATCACCAAGTGTTATCGTATCACCAACGGTTTGTGTGTATGACCGAGGATATGTGCATCACCAAAGGTTAATGAATCACCCAAGGGGTACTACCAAGGATATCTATCAACAAGGGTATATGTATCACCATTGGTATGTGTATCACCTAGGGTTTGTGTTTTACCAAGGGTCTCTGTACTTTCAGTCTATCAGCATGGTTCATTAACCTATTAGAAGAGTGTGTATGCTTATAACATAGGTCTGAATAGCCATATTAGAGGTTTTCCCTCTTGCTGGGTCGAATTGCCTTATTTTGTATAGGGTATCCAACCTTTTTTGCATTATCAAAATGAAATTTAATTACTTTTAAGGATGTCTTTGGGTGTGTTCAGTTACAAATTGAAGGCATGAACGAATTGTATAATGAACTATAATGATTTTCTTGAGAATAAAATTTCTTAATCTTAGGTTATTATTTTAAGTCATTACATCATACCTTTTTTATTTTGTAGTGGAATCATGTTAAGGAGGAAGCAAAGGACATTGAAACTTATAACAATGGACAATGATTTTTCATTTACTAGTTAGTATGTTTAATATTTAAGCATTGTTAATTTCAATCATGATGTATCCTGATTCTTCTATTTCATAAATCGAAAGAAATCATAAAATTCCATTTTGTTGTTCATTTGTTCCACAGAAAATCTGAACATATGCATCCTTTCATAATTAATTAATAAAGTGTGTAATGGTAGAAATTCTCATAAAAGGAGACCGACCAACACAAAGTTCAAATTTCATTTTTATGTTCAGTGAAAGTGCCAAAATAGATGCATTCTACAAACTCTGCAAATTTTAAATACTGGTTTTGTCAACATGTTTTCAATCAGAAAACCAAATGTAGTTTTGCTACAGGGAAATAATATGCAATGTCTGCATATTTTGAATGGGATGCAGTCGTCTTTGGCATATTGTGACTGTCTTGGGAGCTCATCATTATAAGAATTAAGTCAAACCTTAAGAGCACGTTTATGAGCTTAAAAATCAAAGTTTGTTAATTCTTATCACATCAAGATATAAAAGTACTGTCACATCAGGTGCAAAGCTTTGGCCAAGATTAAAGTTTTGTTATGGTCAAATGTCGAGGCCACAGATCATGTGTAAAACTAGAGGTATTGTGAGCAATGAGCTCACTAAATGATACCCCCACCTCCCATATGGTTATAATGGCAAAGTCCATGATTTGCTATGACCGGGAAACCCAAAATATGTGTCGGATCAAAAAGTAAAATAGGAGGTGCATAATGGCAATATGTAATAAAGATTCTGTGAAAGTTTCATTGAATTTCACTTAGTGGTTTAAGAGGAGTGCGGATAAGGGATGGGTACCTCAAAGCGTAACAGACAGACGGACGGACGTACAGCTGGACAGACAGACGGACGGACATACCGATTGCATTATACCCTCACACTTTTCAAGGGGGTATGATAAATTTGACTCGTAATAGTTTTGTCAAGGGCATTGCACAGGTGAATTATGCTTTGATCAGGGGCCCGTTTTACAAAAGGACTTACGACTTAAGACCAAATTTAATTCTTCATATACCTTTTTAATTAACTTTATATCGAAAATTATTTTTAAATTTTTTAAAAGAATATGGTAAGATATTTTTAGAGAAACAATTTCAAAGAGAATGATTAATTTTGCAAAATTTTACGATCATCTAAAGTTTTTGGTCTGAGGCGTAAGTTCGTTTGTAAAACGGGCCCCTGGGCACTAGTAATTCTTAGCTCAAAGACCAATTGCTGGCTATTGTCAGCTTGTTTGAGACAGGGAAAGGTTGACACCAGCCACAACCGCCAAATTAAATTGTAATACTTACTCTCAGCCGCTTTTGATTTATAATAAGTGTATGAAAATTAAACATTATCAAAAGATAAAAATAAAGTATTCAGAAATTAAGGTTTTGTAAT